ATTACGGCCCACCTGATGGAAAGTGGTAACTGTCGCCTATAGACATGAGCAGTACCATGGACATAACAGAGTATACTGTTTCGGCCACGATACCCTTCATGCGTTGCCATTCTTGTGGAATAAGATGTTATGCCTCTATACCCTGTAATTTCATTACCATATCCCACTCTTCTAATCGAAACTCAGGCACGCAAGCAACTACTTCACGGTAAAAACAAGAATGGGACAGAGGTACCCGAGCAGACGACTTTTGTACAAAGTCTCCCTCTGGTACAAATGAGAAAGAAGTATCGAATATAAAAATAATATCAAAAATTCAGACGAATTAAGGACTTCGTTCTTTTGAAAGTCACTTGTAAAGGAGATTTTTAAACCCACCTGGCTAGTTATTAAAACAAATTATGACTGCTACAAAACATGATTTTAACCACGTAATGTAACTTTCACTGAAAATTTTAACCTGTTACTGCATCTCGAGAGAATATTAAAATATTTGTGTACATGCGAACATATGTTCGTGTTTTAATTGCCTTCTTCTATAATTAATGAAATTAAACCTTCAAATTGTTATTAAATCTCAGTTCTTATACATTCGTGTCCATAAAATGGACGTTAAAATATGTACCTCACTAACTTTTACTCCCGACTTTGTCCGCGTGACAGAGATGTATTCTGTAACACAGTTAAATGTAGCCTATGTCCTTCTCAATCTCATATAATGTAGTGTAAATTTCTTATTGATTAGTTAAACTGTTAAAGTTCTAAGAAGTAACAACAAACACACACTCACATTAATAATATTAGTAAGGGTTATCAAATTATTTTACATTTTGCCTCGCGTCAGGGGTGTTTTTCTCTAGAAATCAGTCCGATTCTAGAATAAGGGCACAGCCACGACAGTTTTCAGGGGAAACCGCGTGGAGGTCTACCTGAATTGGTATATTGTTAGCAGTGAAGCTGTTAGACTCCATTGTTAACAACCTCTTTCCCCTCCCGGTGGGCACGTTACTTAGCGTAAATGAGACCTGGGAATCGTATCCCGGCTAGGACAATTTAGGAAACAAAATTTTCTGAATTCGCTCGGTTCTGAATCTTTTGGGTTATGCCTCCATATATTCATTGCATTGTTTCTCACAGCATAGGGTATCCTAGTTGAAGAACCAGGGGATTAGTGTGTCTATTCCGTGATTTTCACGGTACTGTTCATTAACAATAACCACTTACCATCAAATAGGCCATCCCATTAACTTGTTTGTCATTTCAAGCTGCATAAAAGAAATAATGAAAAATGTATTTTTTTTTTTGTATTTACGCGATATCTCCGCCAATTAAAAATCTTAATTTATTAAATGTAACACAACATACAACATCGTTAACATTGGTAGATCACAGATAAGGAATTAACGGACAATAATGGAGTCCAATTACACAAAGTCAATGTCAAAACAAACAGTACAATAGGTTACGGATCACGGCTCGGCTTTTATGAGTATAATTTTATACAAAAAATAGATATTACTTAATGTTTCATCATAATCATCATATCAGCTTTTAACTGTCCACTGCTGAACAAGCCGAAGCTTCCCCCTTGGGAGGTTTTGACAGTAGTTGCCACGCTTGACAAGCGGATTGACAACCGCAGTTAAGCTTTGGAGATTTTTTTTTTAATCTTTTTTGTTTAGAGGCTTTTATCCTATAAGAATATATCAGTCTCGTCATACCCTAATTTTAAAAAATACCTCACATACTTAAAACATTAATACATAAATAAATAATACATAATATCTTAGTAGTTTATTTTAATAAAGGGAATTATTGATACAAAAATATAGTAATTCGCTTTGGAGATGTTTTAAGAGAGACGCAGCTGCCCATCCCTCGCCCTCTCTTAGTTGCCTTTTACGACACCTATAGGAAAGGAAGGGGTGGCCTATTCTATGCCGGGACCACACGGCAATGATGGCGACGGCGACATAATATATGTTTACTTAATAATAATTGTTATAAATTATCTCTATTATTACCACAGTGTGAGACATTGTATAAAAATTGTTTACATGGCTACCTCTGTCCCACTAGAGTTGTCATACTTCTCTGCTTTTAGAGTAAAGTTACAGTAAAAGTACACACAAAGCTGTGTTTCCATTATAAAGCAATCCTGCGGAATGGCCACAGATGGATGGCATGAGATACACAGTATATATTTTCAATTTTTTTCAATTAAATTTCTGTTTTGCCAAAGGTTGACTGGGAGAGAATGCTATACAGTATTAAGTCCGCCTTTTGTACCAGACATTTTTTGTAAATTGGTCAATAAAAAATAAATGTCCCAGCTGTTATTCGCGTATATTTATGACAATTATAACATACCGTCAACTTCTCTGCCATTCAAGGCCATATCATGCGAGCCATTAACTGTCCACTGCTGAACATATCGAGCCTTTTCAGGAAGAACATCGTAACCGCCATTTTGCATATTTTACAGGAGAGGGTTTTTTTTAAATATTTCTCAAAATATTTATAGCATCAATTTCAAATTTCTACTAAGTGTTATGTGGGCACCTCCCTATTACTTTAAATGTTAAGATTTGTATCAGTACTCTAAAATCACATACATTTGTCGCTTACGTTAAAACTGATGACTGTTATTAGGTAGAGCTGATATGAGTATGTCGATTACGATAATTCCTAAATATCATGAAATAGTAGAAATAATTTTTTGTGAAGTTTTTTTTAACTATATTTACGAGATACAGTGATAGACAGAGACGGACAAAGTGTCAGAAGTACAAAAAAGTAAAAAAAAAAAATCATTAATCACTTCTAAGTGAATTGGCTTTATTAACAAAATGAAATACCAAAAAAGACATAACTCAGTCGTCGTTTTCATTAGTCTCGTTCTCTTGTGTTTTTATCGTAGGGCAAATCCAGATATTCTTTTGCATATACTTCTGGTATGACACCTTTTTAGCACATTTTCTTTATATCTTCATATTTTGCCTTCGAAATGGGATTTTTTTCAGTGATAGCAGTCTTCGGTTCACGAATGGCTTGTTGATTGAACATCAACAGCTTATTCGGGTCCATTATAGTCGTATTTAAGATAGAATTTGTCGCCTTCAATCGTTCAATCAAATCTAGCGTTACGCAGCTTGCTTGTTTGTATTTTAATTTTGTTTGGTAAGAAGGCTGTTGTATAGGAATTTCAGTCTTTAATTTCACTATTTTTTAAAAGAATTGTCTCATATTTTTTGGATTAGTCCGAGCATTTCCAATCAAAGTTTGCCATTCAGATGGTGCCTTAATGGTTCTTTTCTGTACAAATTCTTCTATTGTCGCATGCACAGAATCTATTGGCATCATACATCTGACATGTCGTATGTCCAGGAATAAGAAAGTTTATAGTCAGCTTTTCAACAAAACTCGCATGATATTGCATGAAATAATACAGCATTAAAATCATGGTTTTATTTTTATTTTGTCCTGCACAACTATCACAGTACAATGCAATTTCATTTTGAGTCCTTCTCTCGTCAACCATTTTAAGGTATTTAAAGATAATAGTACAGATTTAATTTCTTCTTTTCGCTTTCGTTTCATTCCAAAGATAACAAAATGCAGATCTGGTACCGCTTTCATAAATGCTTTCATTATAATAGCTTTCGAGTATAGTAGAAATTTACACTTTGACTGTGAGGTGTTGTTAAGACCTTTTCGAGATCATAGCTCGCACATAAAAAGTTTTTGCTTATTTTTTGATCCTCTAGAAATAGCTTTAATGATCTTTCTTTGTTCTTAATGTGATTCTTGTAAGCAACTGATTCTATCGTTTTTTTCTTTCTTCATCATTCAAATTTTTTATTCTCTCACATTGACCACATTTATCTTTCTTTGGTAAGTGAAATCCTAAGTTAAATTCAGTTTTAAATATTTTTCTAAACTTTTGATAACTTACTGCACCTAAATCTTTCGTTTCATCATCTTTCAAGTAAAAGTTTTTATATAAATAAGTCACATCCCTAAATTCAGTTGGTAAGTACAATTTATTACTATTGTTTCTACAATAGTGTGATTACCCGACAGGCAACTTTTTTATAAATTTATTTACGTTTTGAGTTTGAGATTGACTGTATTTATTTGAAGGCGTGCTTTTGCCGCGTTGGTCAGATTTTAACTTAAACTTGCAATTTTATGCAATTTAGTGTAACGCAGTGTCATTTGCGAAATATCAAAAGTTTTCAAAACTGCTGGCAACTTTTCTAATATAGTTATCAAAGTTTATGGTATTCATATTTAATTTATTTGAGTATAATAATGTTACAGTTTACGAACAACCCAACGCAAAACGCATTTTGTTTCTACCGCAAGGGACAAGTTTAACTTACGTTGCATAAATTTATTATCGTAAGTGCCAAGTAGGAAGCTTACAATAAACTTAAGAACCTAGTACTATATTGTAAGCGACAGGTATTATACTTACGATCTGTCAGTCGGTGGAGGTTACGTTAAAAAACCGAATGGCTTGTAACTTACGATAAAAACAAAGAATATTAATAAAGTTAATTACATTTCTAATTTGAACTCTAAAATAAGCTATAAGGTGTAAAATCAGTAGATCTGGCGGTTCATATTAAAAAAAGTTTTTGGAATTTTTGGCGCTTACGATCTTCTTCCTGAAAAGGCTCGATATGCCTCCCTCTATTGGGAGCTTTTGCCAGTAGTTGCCACGCTTGGCAGGCGGGTTGACAATAGCTGGGCATTGGTAATGGTTTAAAAGGGACGCTGCTGCATTCCTCGACCGTTAAGTTCTCTTAGTTGCTTCTTGCAATACCCACGAGAATAAAAGGAGAGGCACATTCTATACCGAGACTATGTTGCAAAGAAAATCCGTTTAAGCTCGAATACGTAATAAACCTTTAAATATCTTTACAAGCATTCACGTTTATAATATTTATTAGTAGAACAAACTGGTTTTATAACAATTTCTTTATTGTTAACAGGAAAGCACCTAGTATTCTCTACGGACCCTGAATCGGTGAAGGACGAGTTCGCATTCGACAACCCTGGCTTCAGACAGGACGAGCGGAGCACGTGGCAGAATGAAGCGCCAACCCTACCACTTGGCGGGAAACCGTCTGTACTGCAAGCGGAATTCACGAAGCCCGAACAAAGCAAAGACGATTTGCATTTACAAGTAAGAGAAATTTTGACACAGATTAAAATAATAGTACAAGTGCTTCCGTGGTGTTATTGGAAACGCACTTATGGCAGATAGGGTTGCCACATCGAGTATTTTGATATTTTTACATTCTTGTTATTCTGTTCAGTTGTTCCAATATTTTATCTAAATACGGAATCTGTTAGAACGAGGCAGAGATATATTTAAAGGTCATAAAAGATCAACAGGTGCTAAAAATAGTATTGAGAAAAAATACGCAACTGTTTATTTGAATAAATTTAAAAATACGCAACTGTTTGTTTTTTACACCACGAAGGTGGCAAATAAGCATACAGCCCGTCCAATGGTTAACGGTTACTGTACTAGGGGTGTCACGTGCGCATTGCTGACCGTTGATGATTTAATTGATTGAATAAATTAATTTATACACTTGACTAATAAATAAATAATTTTGTAATTTTTTTTATTGACAAAACTTAACTATATTTATTTAATAGCAAAATATTGGCATGTACATAAATTTACAGTCTTTCCCTGTTTCATAACAAACGTCCAAAATATATATTATAAAAAAAAGTTATAAGGTTTGGTAACCCTAAATATTGCCGACTACAATTTTTACCGAAGAGCCAAAAAAAATAAAAAAAAAATCGGTTGTTTGTGCATGTAATTGTAATAATAAAAATAAATTTTTTAATCGACATGTGTTTACGTAGTTTAGGTTCATTTATTCGACATATTAATGTCGTATTATCATGTTACTGTCATTAGCTTTTTTTTATGGTGAAAATGGAATAGCAACCCCGCCTGCGCTAACGGGATACGCTGGCGGGGCACCAGTGAAGGGTGATAGATGAGAATGAAAACAGGCCAGTTAGCCCATCATGATGAATTCATCAGGAATTAACCACGATAGTTTCCAGAGGGAACCGCGAGGAGGTCGACCTGGTTGGGTATATTGCTAGCAATGGGATTTTTAGTCTCCATTACTAACAATCCCTGTCCCCCCTGTCATTAGTATTTGCGCATTAGAAACGCAGTCTTTCTATACTTATGCATGATTTGTATGAAAGCAAAGTGACAGGTTTTACATAATTCTCATGGTATACGTAACAGAATAATTACATATCATTTATAATATATCGGCACAGACTGTTTACTACTTTTAAAACATACACTCGTGAAGTGTAAACGCTGACTCAGCATTATAAAGGTATTTTACTTTCAATATTAGAAATGATTCTTGAAGCAACATAGAATGATAGACAATATTTTAATTTTTTTTTTCATGGATGAAAATGGTATGGTAGCCCCGCCTACGCTAACGGGATACACTGGCGGAGCACCAGTGAAGGGTGATCAATGAGAATGAAAACAGGCCAATTAGCCCATCATGATGAACTCATCAGGAACTAACCATGATAGTTTTCAGGGAGAACCGCGAGGAGGTTGACCTGGTTGGGTATATTGCTAGCAATAGGATTCTTAGTCTCCATTACTAACAATCACTTTCCCCCCAGTTAAAAGGGTAGGAAATGTTAGTATACAGTGGCAGTTACAGGAAAGTGTGATCCAAAATGGTGGCATTTGCAAGGTACGAAAGTGTGACCCAATATGACAACGTATGAGGGCGACACCCCTAGTATTGCAGAGGTCTGTAGTCCACGATGACTGTTTACAATCAGACCAGTCGTATGCTTGTTTGTCACCTTCGTGGCATTTATAAAAATAATCTACGTAGGAAATTATTCAAATATAGCTAGATTAGATTATTCTATCAGATTTCTGGCTTAAAAATTCCGGAATTCGAATTTGCCTTGAATATGCCGTGGCAATATTAACGTTGCTTTTTTAAAATATAATATACAAACTTATACTTAATCTATGGTTATAAATAGTGTCATATAGTTAACACTTATTTTATTACACTTCCATATAATTTACGACTTGCCACATACTCGTATATTTACCATGGTAATTAAGTGACAGCATATAACGATAATCTCTAGAACTAGCTACATAATATTATGTTAGTATATAGGGTTGTCTATGTACGAATTACTCGTTTCTTAAAAATATGACGACGTTTAATAGATATGGAATTACCCATACAGATATTGAATTCTTCTGGATGTTAATGATCACTCACTGTGATACGGAAAAGAGAGGGGTGGCATGTTCTACGCCGGGACCACACAGCTGTACCAGTCAGAAAACTATATTAATTACGAGCGGGTTGTTCATTTCGATATTATATATTGAATAACAGATATATCTATTATTGGTCCAATATATGTATGTATAAATATATTTATACAACTTAGCATGGCAAACAAGCTGACGGCCCACCTGTTAGAAATTTTATTGCTTAATTGATGAACATTTCGCATTTTTACGCAGCTTTGCCCACGTTAATTACTACATAAAGTATCCTATACGCGAAGTTAAGATAAAACTTATCCGTGTACCAAACATTCAAATCCATACAATAGTTTTTGCGTGAAAGAGTAACAAACATCCATCCAACTTTTGCATTCATAACATTTATATTCAACGTTATTTAAAAAAGTAATACTCTCTCTGAAGTCTCTCTAGTAGTTTTCCTTCATGAGAAGAATATAGTAAATTATTTTGTATTTTTTTTATGCAACTTAAAATGACAAACAAGCTGACGGTCCACCTGATGGAAAGTGGTAACCGTCGCCTACAGACATGAGCAGTACCATGGACATAACAGAGTATACTGCTTTGCCCAAGATACCCCCCATGCGTTGCCATTCCTGAGGACTCAGATGTTATTCCTCCGTACCCAGTAAATTCACGCCATATCCCACCCTTCAAATCGAAACACAGCCATGCACACACAACTGCTTTACGGTTGAAACACGAATGGGACAGAAGTACCCAAGAAATCGACTTTTGTACAAAGTCTCCCTCTGGTGTATTACCCACCCTTAGTTCACCGTTCCAAAAAGATGTTTTATTTAGTCCTTTTAGCGACTCCAAAATGACTTCTTTTTAGACGTCATAGAATATACAAAAACAAATAGAAATCTTTTCAGAATAGCTAATAGTATTTAGTAATATACGTACATATAACAAAACCTGTCACCATCTGACAGATTCACAATTATGATGTACTAACTTTTACCCGCAACTTTATCCGCGTAAATAGGATATATTTACTGACTGTGATAAAAAGTTTCTTATATCCTTCTCCATCCCATATAGTACATATATATCAAATTTCATAGAGACTGGTTAAGCTTTTAAGGCAAACAAACAAACTTACTTTCACATTTATAATATTATTAAAGATTTAAGTTATACTAAGACCTTTTCTGATTACTAGACGACAAATAAAATTTTTATAACAATGATAATATCATTGGTATAAAAAATTTTAAGTTTCAAGAGTTAACATATTATTTTTAAATGATTTACATGACAGTTGACAACCCTAACCTAACAGATAAATAGGTACATTACAAAATCTCAGTGCTGCGGAATTTTCCGTTACAGTAATAAATTGTATTGTTAATTAAATATTTATAAGTAAGTCAATTATTTTAGCATGCGTTAACCGTTACATATTCTTATATCAATTATAGCTTCCGGTTTTTTTTATAACAAAATAAATACATTTGTTTTTTCGTAACCACAGACCTTAGATTATATAGATAGAGCATTGAGCCTCAAAAACGGATCAAGTTTTTGTCAGCTAATTGTCACATTAGCGGACTCGTTTTTTTATTAATATTCTATATACTTACGCATACAATGTACGTTGATGTATCAATATTTAATTATTTAATAAATAAAAATATTGTTTGCGCATGGAAAAGGTACAGAATTTATAAGACAAAATAAATATAGAAGTTCGCACGCAAAATTGTATGAAAATATTGACCCGCTTTTCTCGAAGCATTTGTATGGAGACACTATATCTACATAATCTAAGCAACAGACATATATCTGGTTTGTAACAAAAGATTAGATGTTCATATTCCCGTCGCTACTACTACTACCACTAATGGAAGCGGAATTAAACAAAATAATTCTAATCAAACAATCAGTGATATGGACTTCCGAAAAATAAAACATTTTCAAACAACTTCAAAAAAGAGAAGATTCTCCATTCGGTTGTATATTTTTTGTTTAATGTTGTTCGTAACTCCGTCAGTTGTAAACCGATTTAGAATTTTTATTTTATCTAAAAGGATATAATTAAAAATTAGTTGTTAAATCATAATAATTGTTTTTGCCACAAATGAAATCGATTTTCTTGGTACAATCTTAAATTTTTATTTTTTAATATGAACTAATATATTGTCAGCTTGATTGAATATTTTTTTACATCAAATAATGCTTTTTAACCCCAGGATTATCAATTCCTGGTCCATTCAATCCATAAGTCTTCGGAAAAAATATTAGCTTCACTTATAGAAAGAAAACTGCATTACAAATTGTTTGAATACAATTATTTTGTTTAATTCCGCTACCATTAATAACTGCTAACACTCATACATTGACCACCGCATACAGAGTCACGCACATATTAATTTAATTATAATAAATTAATTAAACAAAATACTGGTAGCGGAATTAAACAAAATAATTCTATTCAAATAACCAGTGATATGTATTTAAAAAACTGCATTATAACTGCATTGTTTATATCTATAATAAATTTACTATTGTAATATTTTAGAGGAAACAATAAAGAGTATCATTCTATCTATCTATAATTATTCTAAAGATCGATTTCCTCCTGTATTATAGCTCAAAGTAATGACTTGAATAACTAAAGCCTACGTGGAGATTGTATCTCGACACCGGATCATTTGCAAGCGCAACCCGATCAATTTGTTACGAGTTGCAACGGAATGTGCCGCGGAATTTGTTGCGTTCCCGTCGCCCGGCCAGTAATGAGCCTGCCCGGCCTGTTTAATGCTGGACCGGAACACCGGTGGTGATATCGATAATTACGTCGACTTTTAAATGTAAATTAATGTTTATGCAAGTAAAAGCGTGTTTACGATTTGATATGATACTGATTGTTTTAAAGCTTAGATAATTTTTAATAGCTTTTCGTCGGCTATTCTTTTTTATACAACTTAGAATGGCAAACAAGCTGACGGTCCACCTGATGGAAAGTAATAACCATCGCCTATAGACATGAGCAGTACCATGGACATAACAGAGTATACTGTTTCGCCCATCATGATACACCCCACGCGTTGCCATTCCTGAGGACTCAGGTGTGTACTCAGTAAATTTCGTACGCGTGGCTTTCAGAAGTAGGAATAACAATGAAACTTCTTCTTTTATCGACTTCTAGACGATATATCAAGATAAAACATATTTTTAAATTAGATCTTCAGGTATACAATTGTGACAACCGCATCCAATTTGGTGCAGCAATTATGCCAGAACAAGCATACAGATAGACAGAATTTCTAAAAATTATTGTTTTAACTTCTGTTACTTTCTATTAAGACTCATTTTATATCAGGTTTTTTTTAAATATTTCTCATATACAGACGTCATCTAGTTGCAATTTTATTATATTAATAAAATATGGCGTAGTGCCAGTTCATTGCAAATGAACTAATACCCCGCGTTATACAAAAGCGTTGTACTAGTAAGAGATGATAGATGATGATAAGTCAGGTCACTCCACAAGTGGAATCGTGTGGCAGTCGACATATCAAGGCAGTCCATTATTGCTAGCACTGGAGACAAATATCCCCGTTAGTAACAATTCTTTCCGCTCTGGTGCTTAGATGTAGCTGTACTTGCATGGCTGTGTTTCGGTTTAGAGGAATTATATGCGATATGTCAGTAAGGTACAAAGGCATAAACGCCTTTCTCCTCGGAACTGGTAAAACATGACGTGTATGTAGCATAGGCATTACAGTGCATTTTATGTCCTTCGTGATGTTCATTTCTATTTTTGTTCACTAGTCATTATTACTCGTTATTTTTACGGCCATTTCTGCCAGCGTCATGTATAAAAGGATGTAATTATATCAATGATGTAATTATTATATTTTTGGTATAAAAACTGTAAAGGACAACACAGACAGATATAGTGATCACTTTCTTTTAAGTAGGTCGTAAGATTAATAGGCCTTCCAAGTTTAAAAACAAAATACTTAATAAAATATCGACTAACCATAAATAGTGTCGCATCACTAGACTAAATGCCACTATGGTAATAACAACTCGGGACCAAGTGGAAAACGGGGCTTATTTATTGCATAAACAAGGATTATTATACGAATTCAATATCGTGTGGAAAAATTCTGATTGTAGTTGTTTTATAGTGATGTTTACAACCCACACATCCTCACTCGATTACACTAGTATTAAATTTAAATATTCTTTTGTATGTTTATCATCTGCATTCTTTAAAGATTTAATCTATGTATTATTATATCACTAGAAAAAATATTGTTTCTTTTCAAATTGTAGCTAGAAATTGTATTATTAATTATATATAATTTAGGCCTAAAATTATTATCTACGAAAATAAATATCCTACAGACACTGTTTATAGAGATATCATACATAGATAATATAAGTTGACAACACTGAGAGGAAACAAAGTGAAAAAATTTAATCAACATTCATTGTAGTGAAAATAAAAAAACACACATACACACACACACACACACACACACACACACACACAAAATGTAGATCCAACTAGTCGATTTTTTTTATTCTTTTTTTAATTTCATAAATTAATGGTTTTATATATTTTCGCCCGCGTCACCACTTTTATTCAATACTCTGGTTGGGGTAAAATACCTATATCCTTCTACAGCCCATATAGTACGTGTGTACTAAATTGCATAACGATTGATTCAGCTTTTAACGCGCTAAGAATTAACAAACAAACTCACTTTCACATTTATAATTTTAATAAAGATTGATAATTATGATTAACATTTAAATGTGCAGCAGATTCACTTTTAAAATTACCATATTCATTCAAATACCAATCAAATAAGCAACTGTTAAAACGGCCGTCCAACGCAATAACCGTGGCTATATAATTAATAAAGTATTTCTCTAACCTGCCATGTCTTATAGAGGTCAACACGTAATACTACCAAGGTCATCCAATGTTTAGTTCACACGGATGCAACCTAATAGTGATGCCTTGTAATCGTTGGGTATCGATTGTTAATAGATAGTTATATAAATAATCGATTACATAGTGGATAATACGACGTAATCGATAATAATTGACTGAAATATTATCGATACTATTATTGATAATCTTACACTTACGATTTTTGAGTTCCTTGTCGGTTCTTCTCGGCCGATAACAACATTTCGAACTCAGCTTTAGATGTATTATATAACGATTTTAAATTGTTGTAAACAAGTCTATTTAAATAAAGATAATTTAAATTTGGTAATATAATACCATCGATTTAAAAATATTATGAAATATGTAACTCTATATTCGGAAATTTTATCAATAATAAATTGAAAAATATTCTTTTCAACAGCTAGATCCAATAGGATTTGAAACCATAAACTTAGTTATCCAAACCTAGTATGTTTCCAGTTACACTGTCGACTATATTGTATCAATTTATTGGCGATATAATTTTGATATTACTACGACATAATCGATAGTACTGCATGCAACTTTATATCGATGTTATTGATTTAATTGATACTGTCTCTTAGCCAAGCGATATTAAATTATTCTGGATATATACTATCGATTAACTAACAACCATTTCGGTATCAACGATATTAATTGAATTCATATTGTCTTTTGGCCATGCGATATTAGATTATTCTGGATATACACTATCGATTAACTAACAACCATTTCGGTATTAACGATATTAATTGAATTCATATTGTCTTTTGGCCATGCGATATTAGATTATTCTGGATATACACTATCGATTAACTAACCATTTGGATATTAAGCAACACTTCTCACAGACTGTCAAGTCAAAAGGTATGCCATGATGTCATAACCTCTATCATTAAGTAGGCGCTTACAATAATCAAGAGGTGAAATCATCAGTCATAAACACGGACTCTTGTAGGTACTTAATTTTAATTACTTTGTTTTTTATCATCTTAAAGAAATGAATAGATCTGATAATATCAAGTAGCTCCATATAGTCCCAAACTATAGAGTTTGTATTGTACATACAAGATAACTGATAAACACAGATTAGACTTATTTTAATATTTACATACTGATGTAATGTACCTAAATAAAAAATGCCTGCATACAAACAAACAAGTATGGAATTCATATGATTATTTACATGTGTTGTGTTTTTAACACGACCGTTTTTTTATTAGATAGTATATTTATTGCGCCAAAAATATTGCGCCAAAATTTGCGCGTTTATTGTTCATTAATTGCTTTGGCCATAAGACCGCCTTTTGTACTTCATACAACTTTGTACTACAGATGTATCAAAAAGAGACTGTGCTAGTGTCATCTCCTTTGGTATCTGTGGGTTTGATCATAGTCCTCGGGAATGGCAATTCACATATTTCGACTTTCGAACCTTAGAAATAACCTTCGACGAACCTTTGACGTCGTTGGTTGTTCTAACCTTTGTTGGAACAACTAACGTCGTCACAGTTTGTCTTGGATTAATTAATTTCCACAACATATCCAAAAACCTAGAACGAGGCACGGGTGTAGAACACAACTTTTCTCGTATAAGAGAAGAATTTAGACTAATCGAGCAGTCAGTTTAATACATTTATTTCATACCTTCATTTACATTTTACTGAACTAGGTGTTATCTTGCGGAAGTCCATATCACTAGTTATTTGATTAGAATTATTTTGTTTAATTCCGCTACAAATGTTTAAGTCACATGAGTGTGACTGTCAACACTCGAAGATTGACTACTGTTTATATTATTATTAATTTACAATGACTTCTTTAAAATGAAAAGCAATATTTGAAGGAATATTCGAGATTCACACTGCCAAACTGGATGGCCATTACTACATAGTAGGCTAATAGGCTCCTTTTATGGGGAGAGACGTATGTTTAACCATTAATGATAACCCATGACTACACCATGAACGTCATTGGCTATTATGATGATTATTGATGATAATAACCACTTGTTTTATTTGATTGTGTCACTTTATTTAATAGTTATGACATACATATCAACTGACAGTTATTTAATATAGGTATTTTATAGTTTCCTTCAATAAAACCTTATGATACAGTAACCGAAATATTTGTTAAAATTATATCACAGAAACACTTTGTAAATGTAATTAGGAATAAATCAAAATGTTCAATCGAATAAACCATTTTTTTTTATTATTTTGGGTATCAATACATTGTTTTATTTAACTTATTTATTTAACACTTTATTGCACGAATATTACAAGACTTATTAAAGACTTTTCGATAAGTACAGTGTAGTACAAAAGGCCGTGCTAAGCAATTTCTTCCAGACAACCTTTGAGTAGAAAAAGTTTTATGGTTCTTCTTTTCATTTAAGAGTTTCCTCTTGTCGGTGCAACTAATTCATGCATCTTCTTCCAGCCAGCTCTATCTCACGCCATATCCTTGATCTCCCTATACGACATGACACCCAGTGTTTCCTTTATCTGTCCCATGTAGTTATTCCTCGGTCTTCCTCTTCCTCTTCTTCCTCTTTTCTCTTTATGGTCCTATTAGTTAGTAATTCGTTTGCATTTTCATTCAAGTTCTATTGAAACAAACTATGGATATATTTAATAGAATAGACGTCTGTTTTTCTTTTTTCGTTTAGAGTAGATAGGTCATTATACTGTAACATCAAGTTAAATGTTTAAATAAAGCATAATAAAACACTTCCTTAGTCCGATAAAAGAAAAAACAAGAATGAGTAAAAAAAGAAAAAAACTTTTTTTTTTATATAAGAATTTACCGCCATTTGAATGAGGTCGTTTCACTATTGTTCAGTTTTACAGTTGTTTCGTTTTTTACAGCGCGCCAGAGTGCGTCGGGTGAAGCTGTGGGCTCGAGACTTCACGGGGCTCGGCCTGCGGTGCGGGGGCGGCGCGCGGGAGGGAGTACATGTACATTCTGTCCTGCGGAGTGGGCCGGCAGCAGCGGCTAAATTGGAACCAGGTAAATCTATTAAACTACATATTTGATCTTTTATAGCCTTCCGTGTACTAAGCAACCAGTCTGTGACAGCCAATCCAACACATGATGATGGAGAGTAATAGGATTGCATTGTAATGGGGTTTAGCAGCACCATTTCTGGCAATATAAAGTATGTTAGGTATATCAGACCGACCTCCACGCGGTTTCCCCCTGGAAACCATCATGGTTACTTCTAGCGGACTATAGTTAGTATCAGACGTAGGTGTTTCAGCTTTGCACTTAATTGGTAATCTCGATTCAGAAACCGTCGATGTATCGTGACAATATTTATAAAGGTGCCGCCAACTCAACGCATCGTAAAGGAAAACTATTGTCCCGCGTTACTCAGAACTTCTGCTGTATGCATAAATAACTTTAGTGCATCACCTTCCGGCAGCATATATACAACGGTTGCATGTTTAACAGACAAATATGCTGTGAATATGCTTATTGTATCTAAACTATGACGTCCAAGTTTTAATTTTTAATTAGTGACAATGGAATGTTAACCACACTTGCGTAGGAGAAAAGGGATCATTAGTAATGGGGGTCTAACTGACACATTGCCAGCAATAATCCCTATCAGGTCGACCTCCAAGTGGATCCCCTGGAAACCATCGTGGTTAATTCTAGTGGAATTCGTCACGATAAGATAACTAACCTGCTTTCATCGTCACCTATCATCGCTCACTGGTGCCCCGCCAGCATATACCGATAGTGCAGGCGGGGTTACCATACCATTATCACGCATTAAAAAAAGAAACCACATGCGCTATCGGTATACACTGGCGAGGCACCAGTGATAGATGACTGATGAGGATGAAAACAGGTCAGTTAGCCTATCCTGACGAATTCAACTAGAATTAGCCACGATGGTTTCCAGGGGGAACCACGTGGAGGTCGGCCTCATAGGGCATATTGCTAGCAATGGGGCTGTCAAACTCCATTGCTAACAATCCCTCTCCCCCCACCGAGAAGCAGTTAGGTTTGCATTGTTGTTCTTTGGTTTGAAATTATTGATTACCAAAGCATAACATTGCAGTTTTCAAAAATAACAACTTATGTTCAAGGTTTGGCAAAAAAAATATTTGCAGATAAAGTATTATTTTAATAAGTAAATAAATAAAATAAAAATACTTCTTATTCAAATATTTTTTTTATTAACCTACCGCCCAGTTCGAAGTGCGAATTCAGTTGAGAAGAACGGGCAATGAAACTCAGCTGTTGCTTTTTTCAAATAAATAAAAAGTATTTAAAATAATAAATAATATGATGTATTAAATAGTTATTTTATTACGTCATTGTCTAATTATATATCATGGAGCTGCGCAATTCACGTGTTATAGGTAAAATTCTTACTGCGCAAGTCATGTGTTTAAGTCATGCTTAAGTTATTTACTTAGTCCATAGATGATAATACTGCAGATCTACTCTTGAATTTAATATCTGTGTTTCGGTTTGAAAGGTGGGATATGGCAGTGAATTTAAAGGGTACAGAGTCATCAACAGCTGCGTCCTCAGGAATGGCAACGCATGGGGGTATCATGTGCGAAACAGTATACTCTGTTAAGTTCATGGCACTGTTTATGTCTATAGGCGACGGTTACCACTTTCCATCTGGTGGGCCGTCAGCTTGTTTACCATTCTAAGTTGCATAAAAATATTACTAGTATAGTTTAAAATATTAGGTTTTTCAAAATCATTCTGTAAATTGATTCTTTCAAATTGGAATTTGATTCTTTTATTTAGTTTTTAAATAAAAATAACTGTTTTTGTCACGATTGTCTGTTTTTTTTTCAAACACAATCTTAAATTAACATAATTGCATCCACAGGTGATAGAATAAAGAGTATCAAGATCGAATTCACGGGTACACCACTAGAGGACGCCGTTGGGATCCTGTCCCTCGCGTCTCCATACCCTGTGGAGTTGGAGATTGTGGAGGGCGGGCGGTCGAGCGGGGCGGGCAGGGCAGTTCACCATCCGCTGCTGAAGAGAGCTGGCTCCACTGGCGATGTTAGCACGGTGAGAAACAATTCTTATATTAACATTTTTTTCTATACAAAAGTAGCAAACATGTGAGTACATCATAGAGTACGTCTGATGGTAAACGGTCTCTGCAGCCTATGGCTGCTTGCAACACTAGGGGTGTTATGTGACCGTTGCTGATCCCGAAAAATTTTATTATACCCTTTTTGAAAAAACCTGTACACTAATTTCTAGGCAAAACTTAAGAAATTCAACAAAACAAGAATACATTCCTCTGAAACGCACTATACGCGACCCTTTTTATCACTGGAATAACAAGCAAAGTAACGAGCGATACCTGATGTCCTGGAATGGCCAGCAAGCAAACATCCTGCCTGATAGTCATTATCATGATATCATCCGTTAACTATCCAGTACTTTTTTTTTTGATGGGTGAAAATGGTATGGTAACCCCGCCTGCGCTAACGGAATACGCTGGCGGAGCACCAGTGAAGGGTGATAGATGAGAATGAAAACAGGCCAGTTAGCCCATCATGATGAATTCATCAGGAATTAACCATGATAGTTTCCAGGGGGAACCACGAAGAGGTCGACCTGGTTGGGTATATTGCTAGCAATAGGATTTTTAGTCTCCATTATTAACAATCCCTTTTCCCCAACTATCCAGTACTGAACATAGGCATCTCCCTATTGCAGGGTTCTGACAGGTTTTTTTTGGTTGTCACGTTTGACAGGCGAGTTGGCAAACGCAATTAGGCTTTGGTAATGTTTAAAGAAAAATGTTGCAACCATCCTTCGACCCACCTGATGAGAAGTTATAGTCGTTACCTATAATCATGCAGGTGGCTCGGGACAGTTTCTTATGGCAGTCTATGGAGAAGGTTTATGTTCAACACTGGACAAATAACAACTGATATAAAGATGATAGGGTGATAGACATGCACAGCATGTTATGTATTATAGAAAGGCCTAATGTCCAATGCACTGTGTCAATGCCATATACCACACTTCAGATACTCAGCTATGTAAGTTGTTTTATGGCAGAAACCTGAAAGTGACAAAGGTACTTAGCAGAAGTGGGTAATTTATAGCAATATCTGTATATTTCAGGTACAAATATGTATATTTTCCAATAACGGATATATTAAATATCGGTTTCGAAGAACCTGATCAAAATTAATATAAATATCCGACCAGTATCCAGAGGAATCTAATATATAGATATTAAAGCAGTACTATATTGATAATCTATGGTAGTGTTAGTAAATAAAATATAAATCAGACACGTTCAAACAAAACATAAATAGAAAAAAATTGTTTAGAGAAGTTTGTTTTTACTGAGTTAAATTTATCCTTCATTAAATTTTTGTGTCACGTTCCGTTAACAATGACCCAATGCTGCGACAGTGCTTTTGTCTTTGAACAATTTACTTTTCACGGCTCGAATGCTAATCGACTTCCGTCTACCATAGACAATTCGTGATAGAACCAGCCTCAATAAATTTATGTAACACTCAATAACACAAATTGTATAATTGAGGTTGTTAACTTAGTTTTATTTTATGACTCTTTTAAGGCGATTGTCTGTTTTTCTTCATATTTTGATAAATTTCTTAATTATATTAAATTGCAATGTTATGCAAATGAATTAACCACGTTTATGTAAATTAATTATTTATTCATAAAGTAAACAATTGGTTTTTGTGTATTAATAATTTCAATTAAATTATTTGATACAGGATCAAAACATAAAATAATATTATATTATTATCGTGGTCGATTCTGAGATGCCTTTCCAAGATTCTTTAAAATTATAATTTAAATTTGATATCGCAACGAAATTTTTATTGTAAGGACCAATATGAGTTCATTTTCTAATATAGATTTAAATTAAAATTGTTATACTTATAGTTCATGCTGACCCATAAAACAATAATTTCACGAAATTATCGAATTAAAATATACCAGCACCCGCAGACTCCCTGCAATGCACTTGAGGTCGATGCTTTATCTAGTGGAGGATTGTCCTATACTGCATTTGCATGATCGCCATTCAAGAAATTTCTTCCCCATCAATTTCCGGTTCTTCGAACTATGTCCCATCCCCATTGTCACTTCAGCTTGCTTATCTGTCGGGCTATGTCGTTCCCTTTAGTTCTTTTAGTTATTATGCATTTTTCTAGTAAGGACATCGTTAATAGAATGATAAGAACATCGTAACTTTGTCTATAGTGATAGAAATCACAAGTCTGTCTACTCGCTTCGTATGTTTCTCTTTCAACATTGTAACCTTTACAAGCGCAAGAGCATTGTTCTCACCTTATGTAAGAAGCATAATAATTTACCCCGAGTTACACTCACATTGTTTTTCTATTAGTCATCAATACTTTTTGGCAAAACCAGTCTCACTTGACACGTTCGTTAAAAGACTTTCTATTGAAATTGAGAGAAAATTAACATTCCTCGCAGGTCAAATTACAATAGGCGCATCGTTGTAGTATATATTAAAACGACGTAAACGTTGGAAATGTATTGTAGTGTTATGTTTTCTATATTCTACAGCCTTAGGATGTTTTTCAATCAACAATGTATTGTTTTACGATGTTATTGGTCGTAACAATGGTTATTTGGAATACAATAATGTCTCGTACGCTATGGAATGCTTATATCTCTATTGTTTTACAAAACAGACACAGAAGGTTGTAAGTTAGATTGTTGAGCGAATGTTTAACTTCTGATCTTTTTGATAGATAGCTATTTACCGCTGACTATGTTGACACTAAAGTATTTTATGGTTTTATACTCCTTGTTTTTAATGTACTTATAATTTTATATAAAGATAATGTTTTTACAGACAAATACTAATATACATCTAACAATTTATTAATTTTTGTTTTTAATTTCATTTCAGCTTGAGAAAGAGGCCAAGTTACTACATCCACCAAAGTCACCAAACACATCAAACTCCAACAATTCAACATTGGAGACCAAATACAGTAAAGGAGGCATTAAAAAAATCATAACAGAGAAAATCGTCACAACTACTCTTGAACGAAACAAAAAAGAGAAAAGAGATGGTGTTCCTACGACGTTGGAAAGAGAAAACGAGAAAAATACTAAGCTAACCAACAAAACTAGACATTCAGATATTGCTGTTATGGGTCTAAACAAACATGAGAAAAATAAGAATAGACCTTCAAGTGGAAGTGACGTTCAGATTATTCAACCAGAAAATGGTATCTCACATTTTGAACACGCGGAAGTGCAAAAAAGAGACTATGATCCTAAACGTGGTATGAAGTTCGGCATAAGAGTTCTACCGCCAAACGTTCCCGATGACGGAGTACTGAAACAGAAAAATATAGAAAATGGTGTTGTAGCTATTGATAAGAAATCTGTAGATGAAATTGATAAACCCGAACCCCAGAGACAAGCTCCAACAGTTCAACTAAAACATGAAAATGAGACAGAACAAAAGAAACCCGTTGTTGCTAAAAGACGAGAAAAGATGGCGCCACCTATTCCAAATGCTAGAGTAAAAAATAATGAATCTGGTTTAAATAAAAGTTTAGATACTTCTAGAACTTCTGAGACATCTGTAACAAGTTTTGTTAGAACTGATCTAAATTCAAGCGGAATTAAAAGAGATGAAAATGGTATACCTCAAGAATTACCTCAACATATGCTTGACGCAGCTAGAGCAGCTAGAACTAACAGAAAGAGTTCGGCAGAATTTGATAGAGAAAAACCTGAATACAGAAAGGAAGAAGCTCCTAAACCCAATAAGAAATCAAAAGGTAAAGCACCTTCACCTCCAGATACCGATAAGAATAAAACCGATGATAGCATATTAGAGCAATTGAAAAATGTCAATGATTTCTTAAAAAATGAGAAACAACATTCTAGTGTATTACATGATTCATCTGCTCCAAGTACTAATAAAAGCGATACCACTTCATTTAATACCTCGACACCAAAGGTGAACAAAACCAAAAGTACGTCACGAATTGATGACTCAATTAATTTTAGTCAGGACGATATTGATGATATTGTATCGAAACCATTTAAACGAGAAAGTGATTCTTTAAATAATTTCTTTGAGGATTCCAAATCTAATTTATCTTCAAGTCATGACGTCCATTCAGTTGTATCACTGAACAATAGTGATAAAAGTGAAAAAGGCTCCACGACTATTGAACTGAACAACAGTGATATTACAATACATAGTTCTCCATTAAATGATACTGTTCAATCAGTATCAGATACTGCTTCAACCTTAGATGATAACGAAAGAAAGGCAGCCTCTTTAGGTGATCTTTCACGATTTGAATTGAGAGCTAAAACCAATATGCCCTCTACAGGTACATTGGAACGAGCCCAAAGCCTTGACATATCTGCAGACGATGCTGAAATTAAAGAAAGCACTTTGTCACCTAAGAAAAGAAAAGCAATGTCTGTAGTAGAAACAACATTCTTCGACTCAGGAACGGAAGATATACTACCTGATATGATGGATTCTGATTGTAGCGTTGTCATCAAAAATAAAGAACCACGACTTAGTTTGAATATCACAAAAACATCCGCGATGGAAGGTCTAAATACGTTCCAAAGAAATCGTTTAAAGAAAGCATCAGAGTTTGGCAATTTGGAAGATGCGATCGTAAAAGGATCAAACAGTTCCGTAGAATCTGATCGAGTCGAGGAGCAACGTAATATTAAGCCCATATCACAAAGTAAAGATTTCGAACTGTATAAAGAAAACGAAGCACATGAAACATCAGATCATTTGGCTCGCAGAATAATGGACGAGAATCTCAAAGTTCATTTTAAACTCGTATCGGAATTCGCTAAATCTACTTCAGATGGTAGCAATATGAGTTCTCTCGACAGTAGTCAAGAAATATTACCAAACACAGAAAAGTCTGAAATATCACCTATAAAATACGATGAAAAATTACCAATTTCATATGATACGAATATACCAGATGATCTTAAAGTCTCACGCAATACGTACGTTAACAGTTTAGAACGTCCAAAATCTGATATGATGAAGAAACTTCTAGCTAAAAATCCGATTTTAAATGTACACATTGATCAAAGTACACATAGAAATGAAGCTACCACTAGCAAGGAGCCTCAAATGACTGATGCTTTTAAATCAGCTATGCATCAGCCAGATATCGTCAATTTTGATTTGAAATCTTCGGAACCCAAGGTAAGAAATTATGATGATTTCGTTAGTAATATCAAAGTTGGTTCAAATAATAACAGTCTTAAATATAATAAGCCGTCACATGAAAAATTCTCCACTGAATGGTCCGAACCCAAAGATATACATAATACTAACATAGTAACAATATCAACCAATGAAAAAAATCAACCTTCCGATGAACAAAAAAGCAAATCGTATACAAAATCTATTGAAATTGGCCAACCTACAAGAGTAATACCAGATGTTATAGATGGAATCAAGAGGCGTAATGATGAAAGAGATTCTAGAACATTGTACATGGAACCAGCCACTATGTCTATTACAATGACACAGGAACCAGTTCAAAAAACTGTATCGGTCAACGTAACTGAGGATGAATATGGCAACAAAGTAATCACACAAAATGTCGAAAAGATTTCTACTAAGTATATTTCAACTAAAACTGAAGCTCCTTTACAAGTAGAACAAGTGACATTTGGTATCATAAAAAATCCAGTTAGTATTGATGAGTTAAAACTAGAAGAAGGAAATGTGAAAGATATCGATAAAAAAATATTAGAGGAAATTAAAAGGCAGAACCCTAATATACAATTTACTTCAGAAGAACCCTCTTACACTAGAACTGAAACTATAATACTTAACACTACAGATTTAAATGAAGAACAAGCGAAAGCATTAATGGAAAAACTACAAAATGATCCTAGCTTTACTTCGCAGAAAACTCCAGAAGAATTGTCTAAATTAGGTATAAGAATTATCCAAGATTTGGATGATGAGCAAACTTCAAGTAACGATATTGTTGAATTAACAAAAACAAGATATTCTATAAATCCATCTGTATCTACACAGTCAAATGTACATGGATATTCTAATGAGGAACAGTCTAAAGATTCAGAAGCGCAAAAAGATCATGTAACAGAAATTCAAGTAATCACACCGCGAACGGAGAAAATCATGAAACAGAAATCTGATTTAAGCAAAGACAAAATATCGAGTAGACAGCGACTACCGCCTTACGAAGAGCCTTCTTTATCTTACGAATTGGATATCGAAATGCTGAACGATTTCATTCTAAACGAGCAGCACCACTCGGCCAAACAGCTGGCCGATGTGAAGAAACGAGCAAAATCGAACCAGAACACAAACGAACCAAAGAAACGCCACTCCGATTACGATTTACCAAGGAACAGTCACATCAAATTTCGGACGGCCACCTACGAATCTCCAAAGGGCACGATAGTGACAAGCACAGATTTGGAAAACCGGAGATTATCGCAACTTGACCAAATGCAACTGAGAGCTGTAGACCCACCAGTGACAAGCCAGAAACCGGTGATATCTGCTAAACCCAGCAATATACCGGTTAAAATGTCAGAGAAGTTTGCAAAACCCGTGGTTGTGTCTTCAAAAATTCCGGTTTTCAGCCAAAAGTCGCAGAGTCAGGAGAATCTATCGGATAAAAATTTCTCATTACCTCGATCCCCGCCTCCTACCCTAAGCAGTAGTTCAGGGAACATATCAGTCACATCTATCAAAAGTAGTTCTAGAAGTCCCAGTGGTGGGAAATTGTAAATGTTTATTCGTATTACGTGTAGCGTATAGTATTTTCTAAGTAAATATTATATTTTTGATCTGTTTACGGTATTTTTATTGGATTTATATTTGTGATAGATATGTCTTTCATGTAAGATACTATGGTTCAATCACATTAAAGAAAAATAAAATATAAATCACATATATCATTATTGATGTGTCTAATTTTTTTTTTTCTACTTAACGCACCTAATGACTTTTTTTTATTTATTATCTATTTAGAAAACCTTTTACAATTTTACACCTTTTACCTTTATTCAAGTATTTACATAAAAAAAAGTCTTCCAAAATAGTAAATATAGATATTTATTTAATTGAACCATAAAATATGAATATTAATAATAAAATTATATCTAAAAATACTTAACGAAAAATGTGCCTTCTAGATGTTAATAACAAAAATAAATATTATTTTATTAAGTACCTATTTAGTAGACATATTTACTGATTTTTGTCTAAAATATAAGTTAACAATTTATTTTGGGTTGTGAATGTAAACTAACGTAGTCTATGGAAATCTGTCACAATTTTTTTTTTAATAATAGCATTTTAAATTTATAATAAAATTGCAATTTACGTAGTTATAAAAGACATTAAATTTATTATAGTTATAAATATTTCCACACTCCAATTCCGTCCCGTAAGTATTACCATTTTTAACATATCGTACTTAGTTATTGTAAGCGTTATGTGAAAACAACAGAAATGTATATTTCTGGGCCATTTCATTTGTTAGATGGTTAAATTATCATGTATACTTAAGTACTTATATATTTATTAACAATATACAGGAGTTAATTGTTAAAGTTGATTAATTTTAACTTTTGTATTAAAAACAAAATATTATGTTCTACGAAATGCATTAAAAACAATTAACATTGTCAGATATACAAATTGTATTTTATTGATGTATAAATAAAAAAAATTAAATAAAATGTTTGTGAATCTTTTATTTACTATACAAAGTATCTATTAGATACGTATTTTTTTTTGATGGGTAAAAATGGTATGGTAACCCCTCCTGCGCTAACGGGATACGCTGGCGGAGCACCAGTGTAGGGCGAGGGTGGTCGTACCTAGATGAGAATGAAGACAGGCCAGTTAGCCCATCATGATGAATTCATCAGGAATTAACCATGATAGTTTCCAGCGGGGATACCATTCCATTATCATCCATTAAAAAAAAATTACTATATGAACTAATACTCACTGATAGCCATTAAAAGGACCTACCTTAATAATATAATGAATAAAAAAATGCTTCTACTTCTAACGGTCACATTTTAAATTCTAAATGCACATGTTTGTGCACGCAACCATTAAACAAGTTAAAATAAGTAAATAAATTTGATTGCTGTTAAACAATCAATTTATTACCATTTACAAGCTCGTATTACAGCTGGATTTGAATTCCTTTTTGAAAGTTAGTTTTTTTTTTATACAACTTAGAATAGCAAACAAGCTGACGGCCCACCTGATGGAAAGTGGTAACCGTCGCCTATAGACATGAGCAGTACCTTGGACATAACAGAGTATACTGTTTCGCCCATGATACCCCCCATGCGTTGCCATTCCTGAGGACTCAGGTGTTATTCCTCTGTACCCAGTAAATTCACGCCATATCCCACCCTTCAAACCGAAACACAGCCATGCATACACAACTGCTTCACGGTTGAAACACGAATGGGACAGAGGTACCCAAGCAATCGACTTTTGTACAAAGTCTCCCTTTGGTCGTTTCATGCTACTACTGCATTCCTAAACATCGCAGGTATTCTTGTATGCCTCTCTACGTGCTTTCGTGCAGCTCTTCCTAACGTAACAACTCTTCGTCCAACGTAAGATGTTTTCAGTTTGCAGTCCGTTTGAAAACGACTCTTCTGAATTCTCTACATCTGAATTACTAGTATCATATTTATTTTGTAGCGATAGTCATAATTTGACGTTCGTTTTTTCAGCCTCTGATGATACGATAAAAAAAAATCTACAATAATATATAATATACATATATACAAAATTCGCAATTTGAAGTTTCACAGTTTGGGCGCTGAACAGTTTACGCTAAGCTCCGAGCAATGATCTAATACTTTCTCTGAAGATGCCTCGTTTAGAGATTGTTGTTGTTATTGATTGTTGGCTAATATGGAAGGTTGTGGGGGAGGGATTGTTAGTAATTGCGGACTACCAGTCCCATTACCAGCAATATACTCTGGCGACCTCCACGTGGTCCCCTTTAGAAACCATTGCGCTGAATTCCAGGTGTATTTATCACGATGCATGGGCTAACTGACCTGCGTTTTTATCGTTACCTATCATCTCTCACTGGTGTCCCACCAGTATATACCATTAGCGCAGGCGAGGTTACTACTCAATTGTCATCCATTAAAAAAACATCTACCGGAGGGGGGGGGGACGGTTTATTGATAATGGGCTCTAATTTTAATTAGCAATACACCCGCAATATAGGTTGACCTCCACGCGGTTCTCCCTAAAAACTATCGTGATTAATTATAATGTTACGATGGACTAACTGACCCCCTTTCATCGATTACCTATTTCCCTTCACTGATTCCTCGCCAGCGTATACCGATAGCACACGCGGGGTTACCATTTGATTATCACCCATTAAAAACAAAACAACAAACTTCTACCCCCACCAACTGGTTAGTCTAAATGTAAATAACAAAATGAAAGACTATATGTGAAATATTATTAATTTATTTACAAACATTTTTATAATAAACACAAGTTCAGTATATTAACAATGTTCAATACATTTCTAGATACGTACTGGTAGTAATACATACGTTTGCCAGAAGCAGACTGTACAAAAATCGTTTGCTTGGATACCTCTGTCCCATTCGTGTTTCTACCGTGTAACAGTGTTTGCATGGCTGTATTTCGGTTTGAAGGGTGGGAGATGGCAGTGAAGTCACAGAGTACAGAGGAATACTACCTGAGACCTCAAGAATAGCAACGCATGGGGGGTATCATGGGCGAAACAGTATACTCTGTTATATCCATGGTACTACTCATGTCTATAGGCCCGTCAGCTTGTTTGCCATTCTAAGTTGAATAAAAAAAAATACTATTTTTATAAAATTCTGTTATAAAAAAGTATATGACCCAATTATGTACAAAGTACAATATTATAAGGATTACAAATATTTGACAAAAGATGAGTTATGCCCTAGACCAGCAATACCTAAAGTAAGTTCCACAGAACCTAGGGTTTCCATAAAAAAGTCACCAGGGTTCTGCGAAATTATTTATACAGTGAAACAATTTCATTCTTCACATAAAAAATTTAAGGAAACTAGAAAGTATTATACTTTTAAAATATTTATAGTAAAAGCTTTTGTTCTTATTTAAATTACAGTATTTTTTATTTGTAATCATTTGATATGGGGTTCCATAAAATAAAAGGTAAGGTTTAAGATAAAGGAACACCCTTCCTTTATCTTAAAAGTTTAGGAACACCTGCCCTAGACATTTGTCACCAAATTTTGCATATCACAGAATAATTTATTCTATATTGAGGATCTAATTAGAATAATTGAAATTGTGTAGCACTTATAAATTAAACAGTATCATTTATAATTGCTTAGTATTTTTTAACTTATATACTAATTACTTAATACTATTAATATTTAAAAAAACTAAGTAGAACTCTGTCTATAATTTTTCGTGTCTAATATTTTCTTGCCACACATTGCACAGATTCCTTTCTTGTAGGCACATGCTTGGCAGTAATGTGAACCCACTTGGTGTACTTTTGTTCTGCATATTCTGAAAAAAAAAGCAATATATTATGGCCTTGAAGAAAAACTATAATATTGTTAATATTTTACTGAACTGAAATAGGTGTTATCTTGCAGAAGTCCATATCACTGGTTATTTTATAAAAAATATTTTGTTTAATTCCGCTACTATCAGTATGTGTGTGGCTGCCAACACTTGAAGTTTAACTAGCATCATTACTACCAGAAGTTTTATAACCTTCCATATTAGCCATCAATCTGTGACTGCTATGTTATCCATTCACATTTTATGACACATGTTTCACCGCTAAACAAGACATCTTCAGGCGATCTAATAATATCGCTACTTGGAGCCTAGTGTTAATTGTTCACAGTTTGGATGCTGAACATATATTAATGGTAGTGAAATAAAACAAAATAATTTTAATGAAATGACCTATAATTTTTAAGTTAATATTTTGTTAAAGTAAACTAATTACGCTTCTGAATATAGGTAATTTTTTTTGTTTGATATTCTATATATGTCTTTTAAGAAACTTTAAATACAATGGAGAAGAAAGGTCTTGGAGTGGAAGCCACATACAGGACGACGGAGTGTGGGACCTTGGTGAGTGACCTCCTTCTAGATGGACCAATGATATTTAGAAAACAACCAGAAATGGATAAATACAAAAAGTGGAAAACCACAAATGGTGGAAGGCATTGAAGAAAGCCTAAATAGGCCTTCTCTAATGCCTTTAGCTAGAAATGGGTAAATACAGGCTTAAATGATGATGATGTTGATGATACACAGGTTGTCAGGCCACTTGATGAAAAGAAAAATCTATGGTCTTTGGAATATAAATATTAGCATAAATATATTAAAGAGTACACTGTGATAGGGATGATGTTATACCTGCATACTCTATAATTTAATTGCCAGATATGGCCATCTTAAAACTTGAAACACAGCCATAGAAGCACAGTTGCTTCAAGACAGTGACATGACTAGAACAGAGGTACCCAGGTAAGCAGACGAAGTTTATTAATTTGCTGAAAATATATTATGACCGTTGAAAATGGTGGATGTTTTGTTTAACTTTGTAACAATCAAATTAACAAAAATCGTAATATATGATAACTAATTATATATTACTATCAAGACTATAACAATTTATATTATTACAGTAATGAAATACTTACTTGCATTCTTGGAATTTGGCGGTGTAAGGGTTGAAGCGTCCCTTTTTAGCGGTTAACGCTTTATTCTCCCCGACCTTTCTACCACCAGACTCGACTGTATTTCGAGCCCCAGTTTTCCATGGGTCAGGCGTAATCACTTTTCCTAACTTTTTCTCACACTTTTCGCATACCATTTTAAGTTACAGCAAATCACAATTATAACCTCAAATTTTTATTTTTATTATATTTTAGTCTGTATAATTATTTATGAATAATACAAGAAAATCTCGCCAGTAAGCTCTGCTTATTATTTTGGTTTAATTTTATTTTAAAATGTTGATAAAGTGATTTATTTAAAAATAAACAAAAACGTAATAATACAAACTATAGAGTATAAACTCACTCACTCTGTGATACAAACTGTATTTGACTGACGGCAGTGACAGCTAGCGATAGTAATTTCCTAATCGTCTATTCGATACATTCTATTCGTATATTTTTTTAATTATTCGTATAAAATTATTATCAAACACTATACTGCTTCTAGTTGCTAAAATTGTTAGTAGTTGTTTATGAACGAGTTGATATGAATGTAGCCGCTTTCTGCCAAATTAGCAACTTTCGGTATTTGTCAGCTATAAAAAAATAATATGAAAGAAATAGGTAAATAAATTAAGTACTACTTATATTCTTCAAAGATGTTGAGTTAAATATTACTGAAAAAATGTTTGTTAGTTTTCTTTTATTTTTGTTGTCGTCTATTTACTATCAACTATTCTTATGGTAGCGGATACAAAACGACATGACTTTTATTTTTATTGTTAATCGCTTAGATTGAGTCGAATAAATTATATTTTTCAAATACTAATATTAGCATATTAATTATTATATCATAGTCAAATTATAAAATTTAAAATTACTAATTATTCGATAAACGAAACAATTTGGATTATGTCACGCTGACATTTGACTTAACTGTCAAACCAACTATAAAGTTAGTACACAATTTCTGTCAAGGTTTAATTATAATCTCCTTAGACGGTTACGTCCCTTGATTTTTCAAACATACGTATATTGTCGCTTTTAGAATAAACATGACACAGAATTGTAATAATTTACCTTTATCTTATAAGTAACAATAACATGACGATCAATTACCACTTACCCGTCTACAAACCTCATTGAAATGACATTTCTTGTTATTTAAGCAACTTGGAATGGCTAATAAAAAAAATTAACCGTAACTTTTATTTATATATATGGTAATCCTTATACATCACCATTCCAAAGAGTACGCTGTTATCTACCCGTACCCTGATATTTCACTGCTGTATCCCATCCTATTGTTATGAGTAGGTGGCACGGTAAAAGTGGCATTTTTAATTCCATTAATCTCTCTACTCGAGGCTTTGGTAGTAATGAGAGTTAGAAATAAAAACCCCCTAATAGAAAGGTATGGAATTTAAATAGAGTTTTTATCTAACTTCGTCACCATTAGGTTAAAATCACAGATATAATTGTATGTCTGTGGTTAGGATTAGTAGAGTTTTTGATTAAGAATTAAAAAACAAAAACAAGTACCATCCGTAAACATTATTGTATTGAGCAAAAATATTACTTTGTGAACAATACATATTTTAGAATTTTATTAGATTTAATGTACGTAGATAATATACGTCGTTTTATTAAGATGTCAATTATAATGTTCCGCATAATCTGAAATTAAAACCCCATAGATTAAAAATATTACCTGCGGTCTTAGGTTTTTACCTAAATATCCATATACCGCTGATTTTGTTTTTTCTATTTTATTCTACATTAGACATATAGACTTTCCCTGTAGTAGTAATCAAATTAGTTGGCAATAGGTATGCTAGAACTTTAGTAAATCGGCTTTTACAGACAATTCTAATCGACATTAACATCTTATCTAACATCAAAAGCTTAGTAATGAAACGTAATCAATCCTAGGACAAGTACATTATGAATAAAAATAAAAAACAAATAAATATTGCACAAAAATTAAACGCAATTATTAATAATGCTGCTAACTTTGATTAAATACTTTTTCGTTAGGCGAATTGCTTCTTTTGTTTTCACTTGCAACATTCTGTTCCTGCTCATTTACTGTACCATATTCCTGATTATAATCAGTGTTCTCATAATTCTGTTGAATATTTTGATAGTTTCCATCAGTAGCGTAATTGTCGTATTGTCCTTCATATTGCGCGTTAGGGTCGGCATATTGCTGTGGATATTGTTCATAATTTTCATATTGTTCCGTATAAGCTGGTTGTTCATAATTTTGATCATATTGTTGATTTTGATATTCGTTGTCGGCTGCGACTTGTCCTTGTTCATAATTCTGATCATAATTTAAATTTTCTTCTTCATAATGTGGTTCCTTTTCGTATTCTTGATTATGTTCAACATCCATTTGCTTTTCTTCTTCCTTGGGTACTGAATCATGAACAACCTCTTCGTTTGGTGTTATATTTGCATAATTATTATCAATGACTTCTTCGGTATTTATTTTATCTGGTTGTAAAGTGGTTCTAGAGTCTTGCCTTACTGTTCTGACTGCTTGGTCGTCGTCCCCGTCGACTCTGTTTGGTCGGATGCTTGGGAGCGGTGCGTCACCATATTCGGTGTATCTGGCGGAGTCAGCTCCGGTATTGTTTGGTCTGGTATTGGGCGGGGTATGGGGTACATCTCTGCTGGCTGTGGTACTGTGCGTGGTAGGTGCTGTAAAAGATAATTTAATATTTTCTCTATATATTTAAAAGTTCTTGGTAATGTGATGCATAAACGTAGTGCTCGTGTAACCATTGTTAGTAACCTCATTATCAGTAACCTCATTATCATTGCATAATCCACATTACTTACTAATTTCTAAGAAGAATATTAATCTATTGTTGTCACAATAGCCATACTTGATATCTATAACATTTTATTGTACAATAGTCGGGAACCAGTTCAATTCAAAATTTATTCTAAAATTTCAACTATCCGAGATGTATATCAATGAATGTAGTACTCTTATTTTACTAATGGTGTGTAAAATAGTAGAATAGTAAAATATTATAAATATGAAAATGAGTTTGTTTGTTACTATGTATACAGGGGGCTTCATCAATCACTATGAAATTTGGTATACATATACTATATGTGATGGATAAAGATATAGTCTACTTATTATTTCGGTCAGTAAACATATCCCAGTCGCTACTTAAGTCTGTAAATAAATATTTATAAGAATATATATAAGCATAAATAACATCTTCGTCTCGTTCTTTCGGCAGAAAGATATTTAATTACAAACATACCTTGATAAGTGCTAGGTGAATGCGTGGCAGCCGGTTGTAGCGACTTCCCCAGGCTTTCTACTTGACGATGCAGAGCGGCCAGTTCTTCCCTGAAGCACACACACAGTGATAACACACGCACACGTGCATTAGTCAATTCAACTACATACTCAATTTCATCGTTGCCAATATTCTACATATAATCAAGTAATGTTTTATCCAAAACGAGAATACCTGCAATATTAGTAGTGGTAGCTTACTCTTTATGCAAGTTGGTTAAGTATATTTTAATTTCTTTGTAGAAAATATCTCACCTGTAGATATCTACATATTACAAATTACTTATTAGTGTCGAACTATTTATTTCATTAATAATGTTTTAGAAATTGCGATCAAGCATAACAATCACTTTTATATCGCCGATATGCCAATATTTGTTTGTATCATGATTAAAATAAATGATTAATTTGGAATAGGAATCCAACATTCTTTATGACAATCTAACAGGAAACATTCCATGCACTATTAATTTTTTTTTCTTTTCATCTGTGTTGTCCATTAAATGTTTAAACAATATGCCTACTTTCTTTGTTCAAACTGCAACAAATTACCATGCACAGCGCGAGCAAGTCATGCAACTTTCCTAATCTTGTACAAACCCCTTACCTTAACAAGATCGTCATCAGAATCTCCAATCCTATCAATTGACAAATCGCTCAGATTTCTAGACAAAACGCCAATATCCTCTCTGGGTGTGTCTTTAGAACTCAAATCATCGGTTTTCTTATATCTATTTCTATTTGTGTAAGGGGATGAAGTATAATAAGTGCGGTCTATATCATAAGATGATCGACTATTTGGGTATCCACTTAACGGGGTGTAGCTTCGATATGGCGTGATGGTGGTAGTGCAATATTTCTTATGAGAAGACCATAGGTTTCTTAGTTTTCTCATAAGTTCAACGTTCCTGCAAAGCAATTGTGTTCTTTCTGTTCTGAAAGGGAAATCGATTTTTATGTAAGTGAACGTGCTGTTTTAAAATTGTATTGCTGTTTCATTAGTTACAGGAAATGAATAATTAGACTACTAAGTATAGTTTGTGCTATATAGTGTCAATTATAAATCTATGCATGCCATGAAAAGGCCGCTATAAGAAAATGTACCTATGTGTATAGCTAATATTATTAAACATGAAAAAAATATTTAGAGACAAATAAAGGCATAGATATAGCTCCCTAAATTTTAATTATTGAAAACTTTCGCTATATTGCCTTGCTTATTATTTTTAATTTAATATATTATTTTTCTAATATTTAAAAATTATTTAATTAATCTCTTAAGACTTAGATACTTCGTATGAGTTGTTGAAATTATAGAATGCAATAATCTAAAAGCGACATTTATTGCACACGTAACATATTTAATATTAAATAGTTTGTAATCATTACCCATTTAGATACAATTTTGTAACATTTAGATACAATATTGTTCTAGACAATAGAAAAAATAAACTATTTAAATATAACTAATAATCAGCAAAAACAACATATTGCACAAATATTTTATAACCCTACTCAGAGAGTTACTTATTAAAATTAACCTAATATCTTTAAATAAATCTACTACAAAAACATCTTTAAAAATCGATTTAACAATAATATTTCTGATAATTATTACAAATATTATACTCAATCTAATAAAAATAATAACAGAAAATACATTTTTCACATAGAATTATCATAAGGCACAAGGGCACACGAGAAAATAATAATAATAATACAAATAACATTTCAGCAACATAAGTCGTACATTCATTTATAATCTTATTCGATAACATTTGAAGGAATATCTCTATTTGAGGATTTATTTATATATTATTCTTCAGGATCTAAAATTTCCTGTTCAGAAGGTTGAATTTCTTCTTCAGTTAATTCTTTCTCAATATTTACTTCATTAGCATCATCTGATCTAATTTCTTCTTCTAGCTGTTCTTTTAAATTCACAGTCACTGATTCGATTTTAGAATCATTCGTTTCTTCATAGATTACTTCAGTTTGATCACCAATAGAACTTGTAGCTATTATAGCATCATCTTTTGTTTCAGTCTCTTTTATTTCTTTATTTATGTCATTTATTTCTGAGTGGGGCTTTGCATCATGAGATTGATTATCTTTGTCTATATCAACTAATTCTACTGTTTCGCTTAAAATATTAACATCGCCATCAATTACTTCCATGCTTATTCTATTATTAATAGTTTTATTATCTTCTGTTTGTATTACAATGTCTTCTATGTGTGATTCTCTTCTCTTCTTCTCTTTCTTTCTAGACTTAGGTATCAATTTTACACTAATATCAACTTTAATTGGCTCCTTTTTCTCCCGTAAAAAGGGCTGTTGAATCATTAGTGGTAGATTGTAAGTCTTCTCTCCTTGGGGATTGGCGAGATCCTGATTTGTCGTTAACGGACCGACAATAATTGGCGGGTGATTACTCGACGAATCGGACTCTTTTTCGGAGCGGCGCTTGGAACGACGCGTCCCTACTGCTGGTTCTCTGGATCTTGAATGGTCGCGCTGTGTTCTGATTGGTTCGTCTACACGGCCGCGACTCTGCGCACTGCCTGCCACCAATAAAAACACAGCACGACGTTAAGAAATTTTAATCCATATGTCTCAATTTTAAATGGGTAATGATGACAATTTTTATTATTTGAACATAAATTTGTAAGTGCTTTTAAAATAATTCTACAGAAATTTTGTACTCAATCAACATGCTTAAAAAGTTGAAAACATTTCGTACTTGTGCCTACGATTTGCGTCGTCGAGCTTGTCTGTTAGCAAACGACATTCGCCGGTGAGTTTCTCCATCAGACTGTTTTGTGATTGTATCATGGACTCCAACCCAGCGACCGTTTTAGCTGCGGAACCAAATGTTCTTGCTTTAAAGGTGCGATTCTTCTACCCAAATTCCCAGATACATTGAAGACAAAACTAGTAGACGGTACTCATGAACCTCTTTAATACTGACAATGAGCTATTTAGTAAATAAACAATCTGATGAATAAACTATTGATTAATGTATCATTAGAAAGCCCTTTCACTATTCGATGTACATGCAAGCACAATAAATGAAAGGGTAAATTATGAATGTTTTGAATTTTATAACTATTCATTTAGATAGCATAGTTTTTATTGGTAATTTCAAAACATCAATAGTTTACCCATTAGATGACCACTATACTGTTCCCATATTAGTAAAATCTAAGTTCCTAATGTGCCCATCACCTCAATAAAGCTACGCTCTATTTAACTTGATAAAATTACGTACCATGCTTGTTTTCCATAGACTCGAGCATTGTTGACAATTCTTTCTCCTTCTTAATTTTCTCAGGCGATATCGGTGTCAAGTTTTTCATGTTTAACTGTGAAATATAGATGCCAAATTTTATACGCCAATTTTTTAGTGTTAATTAATCTAGAATTTAATTTTAGTGTTTCGCGCAATTCGAAAATCTGTCTGTCCATCATTTCATTGCTACTAAAATTGCTAGTCTTGATAATTATAAACTCTAAATTTATTTAAAATAACTTATGACTTATATTATTATTCAACAAGCACCTGAAATGTGACTATTCATTAGACTTACTTCCTTCTCCAACGTAGCAATTTGGTCAGTGAGACGTAGATTCTCTCTGCGTGAATGAACCAAGTCTGCATCAGCTCGATCCAGACGTTGACGGAGAGACTGTATCTGTAAACAAAATAAGTAGCATATTTGTCTGTTGGTTTTTTATACAACACGATATGTATTTTAAACTATTGACACAATAGCCAGATTTTTTATCATAATCATCATATCAGCCTTTAACTGTCCACTGCTCAACATAAGCCTTTCCCTTGGAGGGTTTTGCCAGTAGTTGCCACGCTTAGCATGCGGATTGGCAACCGTAGTTTGGCTTTGGAGATGTTTAAAGAGGGCCGCTGCTGCCCATCTCTCTAAGGGCGACTAAAGGAGGGCCCTTAGTCGCCTTTTACGACACCCACGGGAAAGGAAGGGATGGTTTATTCTAAACCGAGACCACACGGCGATTTTTTATTATTATATATATAGAAATAATTTAGGAATTTCAACTTACGAGTATATCTCTATCTTGCAAATATAAAATGAATAATAATATAATATAATATGTCTTTTAGAAATTTAACAACGCTACATACAAAGCTACACAAATTATAATAGAAGAATTGAAATAAAAAAATACAAGCGCTTAAATAAAATACGTCCTTTAAATTCAATTCATTCATTCTTTCCTTCAAATGAATTGCTATTAGCAAATATCTGCGTAATTGCTTTTTCGCTGTTGTCATTTTGAGACCCATACCTCAGAATTGAGACGATTGGCCTCATGTTTAGCTTGTCGCTGTTGACGCTCCATGGCCAGTCTTGCGCTGGCTAGTTCCTCCTCAAGCGAAGCTTTCTCAGCGTGCGCTTGAGCTAGATCTGCTTGCAATGAAGCTGTAATATTAAAACTTTACTGTAGTACATCATATGTATCAAATGTGATTAATAAAATGAGATATATGTGAAAACCGTTACTCATATTCCCTAAAGAATCTTCCTTCTTCAAAAATTACATTTACACTACTACGACTACTTAGAATTTCAATTGAATATTTTTCAATTCAAATCCCTTTAATTTTTTACATGATTGAGGAATAAACAAGTAAATACGTTATCATCATATTATATTACATATTTATACTCTACTTAAAAGATCTACATACACAAACGTTATTATAAATTACATACAAAAATAAAATAGTCGATCGATCCGTCCTAGCTACTGGATACGGGCTACGGGTCAGCTCGAAATATGGGAGATGACTCGAAAATGTATGTATCTACATATAGTAGTCATAGAATGTATGTTAGTAGAATACGTTAATTATAATTTAGTTTCACAGTATAATATCACTATTTCATAGCTTTATCTATTTACCCGTTTTATTCTTTAATTCCATTTTAAGTTCTTCTAGTGCTGCATTCTTCATCGAGAGTTCTCGTTTCAGCTCGTTTTCTTCTCGACGTTGACGTTCCAGATCAAGCTGATATGGGAATGTATTATTAATTTTTTTTTTTTTATTTAATGGTTTGTTTCAGAAGATTACGTCCTTAAGATGTTAGTCTTGTCTGTTATTTCCTAATTAGCTAATATCTTAATTTTTAATTCTGGTACTACTTAGTACTTTGTATTTACTTAAATTTATAATTTGCAAAACTCAACATATTGAAAATTTGAAAAAGCAACAACTGAGTATTCTGTCCATTCTCCTTAGCTGAATTTGCATTTCAAAATGGTCGGTAGAATTATAAAAAATAGTGTTTAAAAATGCTTAAATGTAACATTATTAACACTATTGTCTGTTATGTCCATTGTACTGATCATGTCTATAGGTGACATTTACCAATTTTCATCAAGTGGGCCGTCAGCTTGTTTGCCATTCTAAATTGGATAAAAAAATTCGATTGTATAAGTATTAACATTTTTTTTTTTATTTATAAATACCTGCAACTTTGAGACATTGTCATATTGGGCAGCGAGATCATGTTGCAATTCATCGAAATGAGCGTTGTAACGCTGTTCAGCCGCACTCCTCTCTTGTATAGCTCTGCGGGCCCCTTCGCCCGCTAGTTCGCGTATTTTTGATCGCTCTTTAGCAAGTTCATCCTGATAATATTGAAAAGTTTTAACTTTTGTTTGTTTCTTTTTTTTTTAATTTTGTAACATAGGCAACATCAGAATTGTTTATAATAATCTGATTATTATCTAATTTTTGACATTTATCAATAATGATTGATAAAATAGATCTATAACTTTCTAAATCATCAATAATTAAACCAACGAAGTTATTTATTATTTTTTTCTTTACATTTATTGGCTACATGTCTATTATGAAAAATTTTCCATAGTATACTAGCAACATAGAATTCAGTATTTTTTATATATCATTATTATTTTAATTAGTCATTCATTGTCCAATTGTTCATTGCTGAACATAGATCTCTTAGACCTTTAACACTACTATTTTAGTTTAAAGGTTATCGTTAAGCTTTAAGTAAACGATAAAATTATACTCTATTTTCATCCATGACAATCCATATATATCCATAGAGTCTACCACTATATGCAATACAGGCTAAAAATTGTCATTGAAAACAATACTATTACCTTGAGCCTACGAATTTCAGCTTCCAAATTGTTCCTTTCTTCTCTAAGCTGCTGTTCTATGACATCAGAGCCACGTTTGTATCTACCGTCCAAGTCACCATCTTTCTGTTCTAGGCTAAGCTTCAATTTGGAAATTTGACTTTCCAAGGACGACTTGTCTCTAGAAAAATTAATTTATAATTTCAAACGTATTATAAAAAAAAAACTTTATTTCTGTATGTAAGATATACTCTTTCTATTTACATTTAGAGGCCATTGTAATAGACAAAAGGCAAACGAATTTATTGATTAAATTGTTACAATTACCGCTCGCATGAAAAAGAATAAAACACCAGATATTGCCATCTCATTCTGTCTCACGGATTGGCTTGCGACAACGATTCTAACGTTACATTATTTCATGACCTGTCTAAGACAGGTAGAAATAACTCTGAATAGACATTCTTAATCCACATAATTTATAACTCAATTAATAGAATTAATGAATGAGGACATTCTTGAATCTGTAATTTTTTTACAACACAGGGGGCAACCGAGCATGCGGCTCATCTGATGGTAAGTGACTACCGCCGCCCATGATCACCCACAACACTAAAGGCATTGCAGGTGTGCTGCCGGCCTTTTAAAAACGAATATGCTCTTTTCTTGAAGGTTATGTTGATATATTTAACATAGCACCAACAATATAGCATCGAAAACAAGACACAACTACATACATTATTATTATTATCAATCGTTAACTGATCTCTGCTGTAGATAGGCATGCCCCCCTAGACCACTGGCAAAACTCATAAGGAAGGGTTTGCTTTTAGTTGTCACGCTTGAAATGCGAGTTGGCAACCGCAGTTAGGCTTTGATGATGTTTTCAGAGAGACGCTACTGTCCATCCCTGGACTATTAAGAACCCTTTGTCGCCTCTTACGACCCCTACGAGAAAAAAAAGGGGTGGCCTATTCTATACCGGGCTCACACAGCTTTACTAGAAACATATATGAATCTAAATTGAATCAAAATATCGGTTGAATCGAGTGTATATGCATGTTATTTTAATTGTTATTATCTTGTTACCACATATCTGGAAAAACACTAATATTTATAAAATAAACTATTTATTAAAAAAGAAACAATAAAATTTATGGTTTTGATAAACTGACCTTTGCAGATTATCGATTTGCCTTTTGAAGCCATCTAAGCAGGTTGTGTCAACCAGGCCAGAGGCTAGTTTACGCTTGTTCTCATTATTTTCCTCCTTAAAAAACAGACAAACATAACTTGAGGTATTGTTTCGAAAAAAACGAACACCAACTTCAATCGTAACAAATGCAGTTATTTGGATTCAAAAATAGAACTACTGAATCGATTTTGATAAAATTTCTATAAGATTTCTTAAAAGTTCAGATTGTGATATGATGTCCTTATACAGAAATGTAAACAACTTAGTATTAAATTGGGGATTTTTTTTTGGGGAAAATTGGGGATTTATTTATGTTATAGTAATTGCAACTTTTTAACACGATCGTTTTGTACTTCTTTTGTTTCTATTGGTGTATCGGAGTATTTTGAAGCAACAGCAAGTATATAATGTATTCAAATATTTTGTTTTATATTAAGAGATCAAAAACCTTTCTAGATACATTTTATGGAACCCTTGGAGAGTGAGTTCAACTCACACTTAACATAGTTTTTTATTTGGAACTAATAACTTAAATTTTACATTTGTTCCTTAGATCTCTGTAGATGATTCGTTTCTTACGTTGATATATAATTAATACGTACCTGTAATTTCTTCAGGTCAATCTTCGACTGAGTCAACTGGGCCTCCAACTCGGCTATACGCGACTCGAAAACAATATTCGGCCCTTCGAGTCTAGTTGATCGATACTTTGACGGTTTCCTGGCTTTAGGAGACGTCTAAAATAATAGAAACTATAATATAAAATATAATTGTTAACAAATCGACAATTAATTAAAAATAACTTCTTATATAGATTTTTAAAGGGGGAAAGGGATTGTTAGTAATGGGGTCTAATTGTCCCATTACCAGCAATACACCCTATCAGGTCTACCTCCACGCGGTTCCCTCTGGAAACCGTCATGGTTAATTCTAGTGAAATTCGTCATGATGGGCTAACTGACCTGCCTTTTCATCCACGACTGTCATGCCTTACTGGTGCCCCGCCAGCGTATCCTGATAGTGCAGGCGAGTTTACCATTCCATTATCACCCATTAAAAAAATATATAGATTTATTACAGGAATCATAGAAAACATTTAATTTATTTCAAATACAATGAAACGAAAGAGTAAAATTTCTTATTCCTTCACTGTTCAAGCTATTAAACACAAACTATGGAACACACTCCCGCTTGACATAAGATCTACCCCAAGCAAGCCAGCTTTTAAACACAAATTGCGCACCTATTTCTTAGAAAAATGACTTTCCCTTTAAACTTCTCCTGCTGGTCTGTCTGTCTGTCTCTCTGTCTGTCTGGTCTGTTTGAGTCATAGATTACTATTTGCTCTTCTATTGCAGTTGTTTTATTTAATTGTTTTATATGGTAATATTTTATGTATTTATGTATGTATGTATGTATTTATTGTATGTATATATTTATTTATTTAATATGTTATGTGTATGTTTATATTATATGAATTTATCAAGTATTGCTCAATTTTTACTCTATTTAAAAATGCACCGCCTACGTATTTCTCGGTTTACCCAATGGTTGACTGGTAGAGAACACCGTCCGATGTTAAGTCCGCCAAATGTACATAGAATTTTACTGTGCATTAAAGTTTAAATAAATAAATAAATAAAGTCATTGATTTTAAGATATTTCTCTCTATTCTTAACATATTGAAATAAAAATTATTTGTTTAAATTATTAGATTAAATGCGTGCAGCGTTATTCACTCATTTATGAAAAATCACCTCAAACTCAACTATTTCAATAGAAACTAGTTACCTAATTAAATGGAAACAAAAACAAAAAAATAGTAAGACACTTTACAATTTGCTCTCTGAGAAATATTATTCACTTGAAGGTTATTTTAATGTGAAATTTTTGTGGTTTCTGCTGTTTCCATAACACCAAGAGTCAAATTAAACATTTACCATACAGTTGAATACAGAGATATTGTTGTTAACATTAAATACTTCTAATGTAATAACCGGATTGTTAGTAATGCGGATTACCAGTCCCATAGCAATATACCCTGTCAGGTCGACCTCCACGTGTTCCCCTCTAGAAACCATCGTGCTGAATTCCAGGTGTATCCAAAACAATGGGCTTAGTGATCTGCCTTTTCATTCTCACCTAGCATCCCTCACTGGTGCCTTAAGCGTATACCGTTAGCGCAGGCGGGGTTACCATTCCATTATCATCCATGAAAAAAAAGTAATAACCTGTATTCATTTAAGTCATTAATTGATACCTTGTTATTGTCACTGTCCAATCCCGTGCTATCAGCCAGTTCATCCAGTTCATCAGTCTCGGAGCCGGCGTTGTAAGAATGGAACATTCTGGAGATGAGCTTGTTCTTCTGCGCCTCGTGCAAGTGCTCGTTCTCAGATATCACCTCTTTCACTTTGCCGAGTAAATTGTTCAGCTCATCCTTGGTGGAAGTATTAAATTAAAATACGATATATTTTTTTAAATGGTAAACAAATTGACGGCCCATTTAAAGGACTACGGTAAAGCGCTCGCACACTGACACCGCAACATCGCGATTCCCGCCTTCTACTACAAAGACAATTTGTGAAGAGCCTAGCCGTCGAATAAATTGAGGGAAAGGGATTATCAGCAATGGAGTTTGACAGCCCTATTGCTAGCAATGTCTTATTAGGTCAACCTCCACGTGATTTCCCTGGAAACCATTGTGAACAATTCTTGTTGAATTCGTCACGATGAGCTAACTGACCTGCTTCGTCCTCACCTATCATCCTTCACTGGTGCCCCGCCGGTGGACACCGATAGCGCGGTTGGAGTTACCATTCCATTATCATTAAAAAATAATAATTAAACCGTCTAATATAGACATGATCAGCGCTATATTGTATCAGCCGTTGTCTATCCACTGCTGAACGTAGCCTCCCACTTAAGGGCGGTTTTGCCAGTAGTTTCCACGCTTGGCAAACGGGTTGGCAACAACAATTTGGTGTCCGATGATGTTTTAAAGGAACAGCAGTATGAACATCATAAAATACACATGGTACCCCAAATTTGTTGCCAATCCTACTGAGTAGGTCTAATGATATGGTAATCTGTACATAGTCGCATACCTCCGTACCCTGTGATTTTACTGTCATATTTCACCATACAACCCGAAACAGTCATGCAAATACATCTACATCACAGCAGAAACACAAGTGGGACAGAGTTACAATCTAGAGTTACAAGCAAGCAGCCGAATTCCAAAGTTTCTCTCTGTTAAAATTAAATATTTTTGATTTGCATTATCATACATATTTTTAGACGGAGCAACATACCCTGCAGTATTGGCTCTCCCTCTCCAACTGCTCGATGTACTCTTCTTGCTTCTGTATGAAGTTGATGACGTCAGGATTGGTGCCACCTGACAACTCGCCGGTAGAGGGCGCCGCCGGTGGTGCCGTAGTAGCTAATTTTTTTTATACAATACAATATCGATAATCACTTCGACAGAATCATTGAATCAGCCGTTAACTGTCCACTGCTGAACATAGGCCTCTTCCATGGGAAGAGTTTTGCCAGTAGTTGCCACGCTCGGCAGGCAGGCTGGCAATCGCAATTAAGGCCTTAATGATGTTTTATAAGGGACGCTACTGCTCATCTTTCGACCATCAAATTCCCTTAGTCTCCTTTTACGACACCCATAGGAAAGGAATCTATTTTATGTTCGAACCATACAGCCAGGAACGGATAAGAAGTGCTGCCTATAAATGAACAACACTATGAACACCATGGAATATTCATGGAAGATATATATGGAGTATGACCGAGAAGGATTACAAAAAAGGAAAGACGTATTGCGTCGATCCTAAACAATGGGTTAAATACAAGGCAATGATGATTAGCTCAAACCGTTTTGCATACGGGCTAACTATTTTACTATTTATTTATTTATAGGATTACCAACATAAAATACAGCTAAACATTTCAATACAATACACTGGTAGATTAAATCTAACTGTTCTTACATTTATAGGCGACCACAGCATGCCTTGTGTTTGATAAACATTAAAATAGAATTAAATTATTAAATGTCATTATATGAGTAAAGATATTAACAATATGAATAATAATATAATATAAATAATGGAAATTGTATTTAAATTATTATAAATTATAAATAAATTATAAATTCAAAATAATAACGTTTTGCTCGCTACTTCGTATACTAGAAATTTGGATGTACGGATGTAGGGGAAACCTGGTTCACGTAAGAATAAAAACCAATGAAATGAAATAAAACATAGCATATCAGAATTTGATCGCGAGCATGTGTAAACGTCACGATGGGCTAACTGACCTATTTCATCCTCACCTATCATACTTCACTGGTGCCCCGCCGGTGTATACCGATAGCGCGAGTGGGGTTACCATTCCATTATTATCCATAAAAAAAACCTTCCATGATCGATCAAATGACCGCTTTAAAATAAAATATGTATTTTAATATAGAAAGAGATTTTACCCAATTGGATAGTAAACAAGTAAATAATAGTAAGTTGTAAACATTGAAAAAATGGCTTGTATGTATATTATAGGAAAAGTCAATAAGTTACATGGTGATACAGTAACGTTACTAAACTTAGTAACGAAATTTCAAAAACGGTCATTTGACCGCGCTTGGTAGGTTTAGTGTTAAAAACTAATAGGATGATAAAATAAAAAATAATAAAATGTCATATCTTGTAGATGACATTTCTGAATTGGCAGCATCTGCTTAACTTACCAGCAGCAGGGGGAAAGGGATTGTTAGTAATGGAGACTGAGAATCCTATTGCTAGCAATATACCCAACCAGGTCGACCTCCTCGCGGTTCTCCCTGGAAACTATCATGGTTAATTCCTGATGAATTCATCATGATGGGCTAACTGGCCTGTTTTCATTCTCATCTATCACCCTCCACTGGTGCTCCGCCAGCGTATCCCGTTAGCGCAGACGGGGTTACCATACCATTTTCACCCATAAAAAAAAAATCTTACCAGCAGTGACATGTTGCGGCGTATAATTATTGAGACTGTCGGCGTAGAGTGTCGCGTACTTAGCAGTCAGCCGCGGCCTCGGCTTGTATTCCGACAGATATAAATATTTCTTGTCTAGATCTCCGTCGGACTCGTCCAAATTCTTTATAGATGCTGAACCACCATAGCTGCGTATCTGTTTTAAATAAATGTATCCTCAAACCTGATCTATTACCAGTCAAATGTACTACATAATTATGTATTACAAAAAGAGATTTGCAAAATCAAAAGTCAAATCCTTAAAAACGTTTCATCCATTTATCTATCCTTTAATTAAATGCTTAAAAATTTATACATTAATGAATTTATTTAATTAATTGTTTTATTAATTACATTATTTTTTATTAATTCATTATCATCTACCCACTCTTATCCTCAATTATTATTTAGGATCGGCGTAATATGATTTTGTTTATATAATTTAAATATAACACAAGGCTTTGGCTTTTGATTTTGGAACCATCCTATCAGTTAATTATTTTACTAATTTATTAATTAGTTTAACATAATTAATATTTTATTTAATTCATTATGGATTGTAATTAATTTAACTTAATTCAAAAAATTTATATTTATATTTGAAATTTAAAATTGACCGTTTTACACACTAAAACATAATATGGAACTATTTATTAAAATCCGATTATTTAAGCAATTTTTTCATGTTATGTACATAAAGAAAAATAAAAATTGTGTAAAAAAATAAATAAATTGATTTGTTACTTATTTTTATGTAAAATAATTTTATATTTCTTAAATTATTACTTAAGAAATATAAAATTATTTTACATAAATCACACAATCATTTACCACTTATGAAAAAATTCAAAAAATCATTACTTGATTATTATTATCTGACTAAGCAATAAAATACTTATAAAACATTATTAATATAAAAATATTTATATTTAAAAATATCTAGATTATTATAAAAATTTAAGTTTCTTCTTAGGAAGACGTTGAAATGAAAAAATGAATTAATCCAAAGATATTTTGTTCAACTTTGATAATTAAATATATGATAAATTATATTAAGCCGAGTATACTCACACTAGGCGCATAGTTTCCAGACAAAAAATATCTCAATTTAGAGACAGCTTCTTTATACGCCAATTCTGTATAGTCTGGTATCCTTTTTAGCCCATATTCGTTCAATTTCGTTGGTCGCCTATACGAAAAGTAAGAATACATTTTTTGTACTGGGTAAACTTTTTAAAAAGTTACATTTTGAATTTGGAACTGAGAAAAAGTTTAAATAAAAAATAAAATATCAAAATTCGAAATTTGAACTGTAGTTGCGCATTGCGCCAGGAGTTTGTTTGCGTTGTGAGGGTTTTGTTTTAATGAAGATAGAAGTATTGATTACGCTAAACAACGTTGCTATGGCAACGGTTGTTGATGATAACAAATGCATGTCAATGGTACTTATTATGCCAACCCAATTTGATAATATGCTTTCAGAAATGAATTTCAGAAACTGGGGTATTCATAATATGGTATATATCAACTGTTATCTAAGTCTTATAAATAAAGTACCTAATTATAATTAAACATAATCCGTATATATATATATATATATATATATATATATATATATATATATATATATACTATATAACACATCTGATAGAATCTAACAATAACTAAATCAACTTATTAATGTTACTCTTTCAGTCCTTATCTAATTTCCTTATCTGTACTAAATAATATAACTGAGTGTTAAGTGTCAGAAAATTGACAGAAAACAGCCAGAAGTAGTTTTTTTTTATTATTATTATTATTTTATACAACTTAGAATGGCAAACAAGCTGACGGCCCACCTGATAGAAAGTGGTAACCGTCGCCTATAGACATGAGCAGTACCATGGACATAACAGAGTATACTGTTTCCCCCATAATACCCCTCATGCGTTGCCATTCCTGAGGACTCAGGTGTTATTCCTCTGTACCTAGTAAATTCACGCCATTTTGTTGTAGCACATATTTTCTTTAAAGACAAACAACAAAACTAGCCATTTTTTTGTGGTTCAACAATGGAGACAGAAACAGAAAATTTTAAAATTCCTCTAGATTAGGTGTATTTTAAAGTTGAAGAGATAACAATTTTTTTTTTTCACTTCATATAATACAAATTTACATGTGGCAACACCAGAATAAATGCTATGGCAGTGTGTATATGTGGCTAAATTTAATCGTCATGTATAATAAAAAATTTCAAAGCCAATAAAGAAAAAATAATTCTCGTTTATTCTATGAATAAAAGTTTTATTTCTCAATTAATCTATAGTTTTAGACAAAATCAAATCAATATATTATATAAATTTTTTAATGTGTATTAAAAATTTTTAGATTTATACAGTGTAAGATCCTTTGCGAGTAAATTAATCTCACACTTGACCCGTCTTTATTTTTAATGATGTACATAATTTTTGATGTATTTTTACAGGGTACAGAGGAATAACACTTGGGTCCTCAGGAATGGCAACGCATGAGGGGTTTCATGGGTGAAACAGTATACTCTGTTATGTCCATGGTACTGCTCGTGTCTATAGGCGTCGGTTACCACTTTCCATCAGGTGGGCCGTCAGCTTGTTTGCCATTCTAAGTTGTATAAAAAAAAAGATTAAGAATAATTTTCGAAATCGGTTTACAATTAGCAGAGTTATGAAATAACAAATATAAAAAAAATATAACCGAATTAAGAGCTTCATTCTTTTTGAAGTTGATAAAAAAGTAGTTGTTATATTAATATGATTGTATTTCTTTAATATATTACATTTTGTAAACTATCAATTCTATAGGTATTATTTTTTAAGTAACATGCAATTCTAATAATATTATAAATTAGTGAGTTTAGAAAAATGTTTGAATTTGAATGAAATATAATACACACACAGGCAGGTACATTATGTTCTTGTTTAATTTATTTTTTATCCATTTATTATTAAAATATTCTTGTAAACACAGGCACCGTAATTAAAATATTAATAATAAAAAAAATTTGAAGTGAACTTGTTTGAAAATAAAAAAAAAAGAGTTCATAAATAATGTACCTTATCTTAGTTCTCCGCAGCTTCCCGTTCATCTCCTTATCCGAACCAATGCTGGAGCCACTCTTCCCTTTATACCCGGCAGATTTTGGCTTTCCCAAATAACTGGTCGAGCCCATACTGCAAAATTATCAAAACTGGCAACTATCGTGTTTCGAGAAAAAATTAATAAGTCTATAGTATCTATTGTCAAAATTATTTTCGCGGGAATCCTATTCGACGTCACTTCTAATGATACAATTTAAAAATAGAATCTATAGACTTAAATTTTCGAATCTAGAATCCATTGCGTCATGGAAGGCACGACGTCAGAAAAGGAATGAACTTTTTTAAGGCCATTTTCAAATTTCCTGTTTTCCTTTTCCTTCGCTCGTAAATGGAAAATAGATCGTCGGTTTCGTTCTAACATAAAAGTTTTCTTCGGGATGAGTTTAGTCCAGGGGACAGAATTAAATTAAGTGTTATCCTTGAAGAATAATTGACGATAAGACAATTAAAATTAATTAAATATATTGTAAGCATAATATTATATTGTAAGGATCTGTGACATTATTTTTTTAATTTTATAGACCGATTTCAATGCTGTTTTTAATGTATAAGTTGTATTTAAGCTACTCGTTTTTATTATAATAAATATTGCTATGTATTTATAGAATAGAAAAAAAAAATATTCAAATAGACTTGTTTACAAGTTGGTTTAAATTATTTTTATGGTTCAACTACTTGGTTTGAAATATTGTTATCTGCTGAGAAAAACCAGCAAAAAACTCGTCAGTTTTCAAATGTACAAGATAATTTTAAACATAGCGATATTAAATAGGCATGTGTAATATCGATACAGCTCCAATATCTGTATATTGGGTTTCTCGGGATTCGATATCGGTCGTACCGGTCGGATATCTGTAGATGTTAATTTGGATCGGGTGTTACATGTATTACACACCTAATATAAAGTGACTATAATTATTAACTGTTTATCTATATTTACTTTGTTGTGTTGTTTGGAAAAATATAATTTCAGTAAATTATTTCAGTCCCCGTGACTATGCGACAGGCAGTGTCTTGCGTGCCAAAGACTACGATAACTTTTTGGAGGGAAAATCCATCGGCGATCACGCCACGACACCACAAATCATACAATGCGTCTGCTCGTTTGCATAATTTGATGGGCAAAGCATGGTTCTAATTTAAGTGTACTAAGTTTATTGTTACGATCACGGTAGATTTCGCGAAAGCTAAGTAAATTTGATTATATCTCAATTATAAATAGACATAACATAATGGATGAAAATGGTATGGTAACCCCGCCTGCGCTAACGGGATACGCTGGCGGAGCACCAGTGAAGGGTGATTGATGAGAATGAAAACAGGCCAGTTAGCCTATCATGATGAATTCATCATGAAAAATTAATCATGATAGTTTCCAGGGGGAACCGCGTGGAGGTCGATCTGGTAAGGTATATTGCTAGCAATGGGATTTTTAGTTTCTATTACTATGTGACAATACATAATTGTGGGGCGAAAGGGATTGTTAGTAATGGAGACTGAGAATCCCATTGCTAGCAATATACCCAACCAGGTCGACCTCCTCGCGGTTCCCCCTGGAAACTATCATGATTAATTCCTGATGAATTCATCATAATAGGCTAACTGGCCTGTTTTCATTCTCATCGATCATCCTTCACTGGTGCTCCGCCAGCGTATCCCGTTAGCGCAGGCGGGGTTACCATACCATTTTCACCCATCAATAAAAAAAAAATACATAATTTTTTGTTATGATTGTTGTATTCTTTGAATATTTGCTTTATATATTATATACTCGTAGGAAAAGAATAGTTCGAGTTAATAGCCTCTTATATATGAGGCTGGCAGAAATAGACTTATTTACGTATTTTTCTTCTTTACCTCAATGGCAACCGATTGCCATTGAGGTAAAGAAGAAAAATACAAATACCATCACTATGAGTCATTTTGCTCCATCAACCATGTTCTTTCAAATATAGACAATAGAATTTAACACATATCATAATCTTTATCATTTAATATCAGGTGAAATTATAATCAAACGCATTTTTATATGCAACTTAGAATAGCAAACAAGCTGACGGCCCACCTGATGGAAAGTGGTAACCGTCGCCTATAGACATGACCAGTACCGTGGACATAACAGAGTATACTGTTTCGCCCATGATACCCCCCTTGCGTTGCCATTCCTGAGGACACAGATCTTATTCCTCTGTACCCTGTAAATTCACGCCATATCCCACCCTTCAAACCGAAACACAGCCATGCAAACAACTGCTTCACGGTTGAAACACGAATGGGACAGAGGTACCCAAGCAATCGAATTTTATAAAAAGTCTCTCTCTGGTAAATACTCACCATCAAAATACTAAAAGTTTGTATGTTTATCTATGGCCATGTATAATACAAAAACGGCCTGCCTATATTGAACTAAATTGTTTATTTCAACTATAATTTCAAAATTCGAATTCCGCATATTACGTATTTGGAATTTTGGATTTAAATTTATTTAAAAGATAGCCCAGTAAAATTTGTTGCCAGCAATAAATAGAATTATTTGTACAGTTATGAGATGTATAACGCTAAATGTAGCACCCGATGCTCGTGGTGATAGGCGGTGCCGGGTGCGGAAAGTTAGCGTGTTCAAATACATTACCGTGCGGCGTGCATCTCTGTCGCTGAAATATGATGGGAAATCAATACTGTAACGTAATCTATGTACTATATAAACATGATTTATGGTACAGATATGCATTTTTGATTCGTTTAGAAAACATAAGCTACTTGTTCTTAATACAGACCGGGTGGAAAAGGAATTGTTACATAATGGGGACTAATGGCCCCATTGCTAGCAAGCCCGGTCAGGTCGACCTCCATGCGGTTCCCTTGGAAACAATTGTGATTAATACTTATTGCATTCGTCATGATGGACTAACTGAATTGCTTTCATGCTCACCTATCAACCCTTGCTGGTGCCCCGCCAGTGTATACTGACAGCGCAGACGAGGTTACCATTCCATTATTATACATTAAAAAATACAAATATATCCATTTTTTTTATACAACTCAGAATGGCAAACAAGCTGACGGCCCACCTGATTGAAAGTGGTAACCGTCACCTATAGACATGAGACATACTATTTCGCTCATGATACCACCCATGCGTTGCCATTCCTGAGGACTCAGTTGTTATTCCTCTGTACCCTGTAAATTCACACCATATTCCAGCCTTCAAACCGAAACACAGCCATGCAAACACAACTGCTTCACGGTAGAAACACGAATGGGACAGAGGTACCCAAGCAATCGACTTTTGTACAAAGTCTCCCTCTGGCAAACTAACTAGCTTAACTACAATAGTTACATAAATAAGGTATCACAGTACCGGTGCCCTTCAGCCATGTATCTCTCTCTGTACCCATAAGAGGATATGTTATTAAAAATGTGATAGACAATTTTTCAAAAAGAAAGTGGTAACCGCCACTATTTAACATAACACAGATTTGTACATAACAAAATATCCTGATGATAGCTTTAATATTACTTACCTACATAAGATCTCGAAACGGCAATGCGACATTGCATTTATTTTTCCAAACAAAAGTTCAACGAACTTATGCATGGCAAGTTGATATTGAGCTAGTCTAGGTATATTTTTTACTATTAAATACCTATGTGTTGTAGTATGGTTTTTTTTTTATGGGTGAAAATGGTATGGTAACCCCGCCTGCGCTAACGGGATACGCTGGCGGAGCACCAGTGAAGGGTGATAGATGAGAATGAAAACAGGCCAGTTATATATATAGGCCATAAATTAACTTTATATAAAATCAACATTCTATATGTAGCACTAGAAATTTAGCTGAACTAATATTATACTATGTAATGAGGGTTGAACGCTGTTGTCTGAGATACAGGTTTCATAACCTAGTTCAGACACAGATGTTTAAACTGATCCAAATGTACAAATGAATTCGTACCTACTTTTTCTGTAATTTCCAGTGCTGAGTTTGTTACATTCATGGTTATGCAATAAAGTTATTATTATTATTATGTATATAAACATGCTCATAACCTCCTCTCCATCCAAAGATTGCGTAGAAAAGATCGCTTTTTGCTTTTTGCTTTGCGTAGAAAAGGCCGCCCATACTTTTCTAACTGTGAACATTTCTTGTAATTGTTTGTATCTATAATAAATTTATTACTGTAATCTTTTGGATCAATAAAAAATTAAATAGTATATATCTATCTATCTTTTGAACAAAACTATCACTGAGCTGTAGCCTATTTGGGTCGCGTCGACACACATGGCGAAAACATATTTTTGTATTTTGTCTTTTGAAATAAAGAAAAAATTGCTCTGTCATGACATTGCTTCCTACACGATAAAACAGCGTAACTTATCATTGCGATTTTTTGTCAATACCTACCTTCATCCTTACCTCTCATCCCTCACTGGTGGCAGCGTATATTGATAGCACAGGCAAAGTTACCATTTCATTATCATTTACAAAAGCAACCAAAAATTTTTTTTTATTTTTTTTATGCAACTTAGAATGGCATACAAGCTGACGGCCCCGTCACCTATAGGGATGAACAGTACCATAGACATAACAGAGTATACTGTTTTGCCCATGATACCTCCCATGCATTGCCATTCCTGAGGACTCAGGTGTTATTCCTCTGTACCCTGTAAATTCACTGCCATATCCCACCCTTCAAACCGAAACACAGCCATGCAAATACAACTGCTTCATGGTAAAAACACGAATGGGATAGAGGCAAACGACTTTTGTACAAAGCCTTCTTCTGGTAAATATTTCATGTAAATAAATGGAATATCAAGCGTAGAAACTATATAGATACGCCCTCCCCACCACTTTAGAGATTAGGATTGTTAGGAATGGGGACTAGCGACACCTTTTCTAGCAAATATAACCTGTCAAGTCGACCTCCACGCTGTCACTCCTGGAAACTATTGTGATTAATTCCAGATGAATTCGTTACGATGGGCTATTTGACCTGTCTTCATTCTCATCTATCATCCCTCACTAGTGCCCCATCAGCGTATACCGATACGCAGGCGGGGTTACCATTCCATTTCCAGCCATTAAAACGTAAAACGCTCTCCCCACCTTGTAATCCTATACAGATATAATAACAGAAGAATAAATTCATGATATTTCTTATATCTTAGCATATTCCTCAAAATGCATCCTATCCATAGAACACAAAGATTAAGTCGCTATTCTGCGATTTTTTTTTTTGTATTTTTAGTTCCATATTTTGATAATAAAGAAAATTTGTCATTCACTATGACATAAAAAAAAAATCTGGGAAAGGGAGTTAAGGTAAATAATTATACGCAAGTTATAAAAGAAAAAAAAAACATTTTTATTGTTATGAAAGATACCTCGTAATATATGAGGGTAGGTGTAATTAGTAGGTACTTAATGGTATAGGTACATTACATTCTCTAAATCACTACAGAATCATATAAAACATTCACAACAGTATTTGAACACTTTCGTACAACGTTTGATATTATTTGTATTACTTGTTATATTATATTTCTGGGGCTTGTGTAGGGCTTGCATTTAATTATATTTTTTTTACAATCTTGCAAACGCACTATTAAAAGTTTGCAGGTATATTTGCAAACGGCTTTCCGTCCCGTTTTGTCTTTTATAAGGCCAGCATAAGAATAATTAACGAATGAATTCGATGTTTAAAATCTGGATGTAATAAAAAAATATTTAATAAAGTTAAAGAAAAATAAACGGAAAGTAAACTAATTGTTCTAAGTTCTAACAGTCTCCACAAATTAAGTGTTACGTACCTATTAGAAGGAAATATGACGTCGATCATATAATTATACAAAAGTATTTGATATTCCCATAGATAAATCAATCGATAATTCATTTTATTATTCTAAAGAACAAATACACATTCGACAAACGTCATATTTCCCTTGGTACATTATAATTATGTTAGAGTTAATATTAGTTTAACTTAATAAATAATAATACAGATGTAAAATTGAAGCTTAATTGTGATTGAATACTTTATTGGGGACTACCTATTTATTAATGAAAGTAGACAATATGTTATTTAATTTTTCTTTCACAATACACGATATTATTGAAATAAAACGGAAACATTTTAGAAATTCTATATATAAATAATGATTAGACAATAAGTACTACTGATAATAATTGACCTACCAACTCAAACCAACAACTTTTCACTTTGAAAGCTAAGGTACATGAAAACGTCAATATTATGTTTTTATTTAAAATTATAATTGAACAACGAAATAAAAATAAACAGCAACATAATGCGTAAATTTATTAGTAAAAAAATAATACTAGAACATTCTATTTTTGGTGTTAGTAGCTACACAAAAAAAAACTTAAATCGTAAAAAATAAATAAGTGAATTCATTGATTTCATTGCACAAAAATATAATTTAGTGGCCTTACTAATAAAAAATATTTATACCACATTCCAAATAGTGAATGTATTTTTTATTAGTGAAATTAAAAACATGCTTATCTAAAATATATTGCAATGGCACTTTTTAATAGAAATAGCATACAGCATAATAAGCATTAAACACTGTGTAGTTGGTTTACATTTTGTGCATGGTGACCGCTAATTTACAGCCAAAACATTACTAATCTTGCACATAATATGGCACAAGATATCAAAGCTCCAAGAGGTTTGACAATTCACAAACTTATTTACAATGATTAACAACATCCTTACTTTTGTATTAATACTAAATTGGAGATTTAAAAGTTGAGTACAAAAACAGACGGAATCATTTTTAAATGCAGGGACATATCACCTTAAGCTCATTGAAATTTATGGACCACTTGCTTCACCCAACTACTTTTTGTTTCATTATCAACATTTGTCTCAGTACTGTTTTCACTTACACATCTATTAATAGGAATGTCTTCTCTTTCTACACAATTTGTTTCTTGCACACTTTCACTAATACTTCTTTCATAAGTCGCCACTTTTGTATTAATTGATTTAGGTCTTGCTAACGGTGTCGGTTTCTTTATACTAGAGCTGGGCGTTACTACTTGACTTTTTGTCATCTGCTCTATTTCCAAACGTCTTTGTAGAACAGATTTTGTCATTATCTTCGGAGGTTCTATCGACGATCTTTTCATTTCGTTCGCTGATTTTATTTTTCGTGTCGCTGAATCTAGACTTGCTCTTTCGAAACCCATTCTTTTCATTTGTATACTACCGTGTGATGTTCCTATTTCACTTTTAATCTCATTTGATTTTTCTTTAGTTACAGTGATAGGATCTTTATCAATTTGTAAATTGACGTTATTAACATTTAATTTATTATTAGTTACTGATTCAGATTCGACAATCGACTGTTCGAATTTTGTATTTCGTTTAATTGTCTTCACATTAACTGACTCAGAGTGCTCTTCTGGTTTCAATAAAGTATTATTTCTATTAAACCCTAAAGTTTTTGTTGGCACATTACTATGAAACTGAATATTAGATATTTTAGGTTTAACTGGAACAGGCGGAGCAATTTTAGATTTGTTTCGTTCTGTATTTTGATCAGATGCTGTGTTCGCAATACTATCTATATTTTGGATTTTAGTAGACTTAACTAAAACTCGGGTATGCAAACTATTTGATTTTAGGTTTGCAGTCGTTATAGATGACTTAAATGATGATGTACGTTTTACATTCTCTAGTTTTGTAACTGTTTTATTTACAACTTTATCAGAGCTTGTATCTATTTTTATTTCTTCTACCTCTTCTTGATCTGAATAAACAGCTGAATCTCTAAACATATCATCATCGTTTACTTGTTCAATTTTCTCAAATGATTTTTCATAAAAACTCTCATCAGTATTTGCTTGTTTATTTTTCTCTTCGTCATTTTGGATAACGCTTGCTTTTGTTGAAGGTTCTTGATAAGTTCCTTCACTGGAAGAAGTAACAAATGATGAATTGGAGAATAAGCTATCTGGTCTAACTGCACATTTATTAATAAGAATATTGACATTATTGAATGCAGATTTGTCGTTTGTTAATTTAGTAGGATCAAGATAATCAGACTGTGCTATTCTAGCTCCTAAGTGTTTACTTCCTTGCATATAAATTGGTAATTTATTTGAGCTTTGGTAGGAACTGTTATTAGATTTAGATGGAGAAGAATCACTCTTGAAAACACTGGACATATTAGTTATTAAACTAACACTTTTTTCATATACAGGTCGTGTCTTGTCGGTCTTTTGTTGAATATTGTCGCAACTGTATGACAAAATTTCTAAATTATTTTTTTCGTGTTGACTTGCTGTTAAAGTCGTATCTTCACAAACACTTTTACTAAGTACATTGTTGTGAGAAACATCAGAAGCCACCGAAACAGTTTGACTACCATCTGTTGTTGACGTTATTACTACTTGTATATCACTTTTTATTGCATTGTTTTGTGAATCTTCGGTAGATAACTGAGTTTTTATAGGCTCAGATTTATTTTGATTATCATCTGGATGTTCATCACCAATAATATTTCTAAATCTTTGCAAAAGATTTTTAGAATAGTTTCTAGGATTTAATGCAGACTTTTTTTCATTTACTGGACTTTTAATATCACCTTTTCCACTATCTGGACTACCATGATCGTTTGCATTTTCTGTATCATCAGTACTTTTTCGACTTTTGAAACGGCTTAAAACGTTTTTAAGTGATAATATATTACTATTAGGTTTGTATATTTTATGTTCTGGATGTATAATTTCTACATCGGTAGGATTTACGTCATTATGATCACTAGGTAATATTTCACAGGAAGACGTGGTGGAGATATTTAAATTAGGCTGTGACACTGTCAAGAGATTTTCATTCTTGTTCTTATCCAGATTCATTTCTTCAAAATTATTTTTATAGCACCTATCAATTTCTTCTTCTAATTCTAAAGTTGATTGACTTATATTCTGTGTAAATTCCGTATCATGGGATTTCAAATTTTTGTTAAATTTAAGTATATCCCCTTCGCTCATATAATTTTCTACATCATCGTAACTAATTTCACTTTTATCTGATGCTATCGTAAATGGTCTATCTGTACTCATTACTTTTCCTTCTCTATTTAAATATGTTTTACTGTTACTACTAGGTTTACATTTAAATGTACTTACATTATTTTCGTCTTCATTGCTTGTAATTATTTGAAAACTTCTCGGCAATGATCCAGATTTTCTATCTCTAGAAACGTTAAAATGTTCTTTCTGTCGACTAAGCCATATCTCTGGTGTATTTGGACTTTGTTGGCTTGCACACATTGGTAAATAATCATCTGGTTCTTTATTTGAAATATCTCTCCGTCTACAAACTTCCTGTAAACTATCGTACAAGTTATCCGTATGTGATGTAGGGGGTCCTTTATTTTCCATATGCTCATAGTAAATAGATTTTATTGAATTATCTATTTTAACTGGGGATACTGGAACATCATATATACATTCTTCTGGTCTTGATTTATTGAGTTGATCAAATGTTAAATATACATAATCAGATTCTGGACCACTAATTTTCGAATTTTTTGAAACTTGATCTATGTTTGGAGGCGATGGTAATCTCCTTGGTCTAACTGTATGTGTATGATGTTGAATTACCTTACTCTTATTATTTAATGCATGTAAATTTTCTAACTCTTTGCCTTCACATCTTAAAGTTTCATATATATGGTCTTCTTCAGAGACATCCTCAGTTTCAATACAAATATCATTTACTGTATTATCTTGGTCATCATTTTTATTTAAATTCAAATTTTCTGAAGTTTGTCGATTATATTTTGGCTTTAATTTAAGAGAATCGCAACTACTTTGTAAGATTACTTGTTCAGGATTAGAATGCGATTTTAATAATCTTTGATGTCTTCTATGTGCGCTATTTCTCTGCTGTTTTTTCAATAATTTTTGAAATTCTCTATTTTCCATTAACAATTGCGATATTATCTGCTCTAATGGTTTTTCTGCATCACAAATTTCTTCTGTAGCTATTGGATCATTATCACATGATTTTTCTTCATTCTCTGTACCTTCGGTGATAACCTTTTGTTTATTTAAATATTTGACCTTTTCTAGTTCATTCTTTTTGAATGAATCAGTTTTTTCTATTAATTTCTTATAAGTTTCTTCATCAATATCATCATCTTTACTGATAGAATCTATAATATCTGTACTTTGAGGCACATTTATAGTCTTATCCATGTTGAGACTATCATTTGATTCTGATATGTGTAAAATATTTTCAGTCGACACATCTGTAGAGAAATCAGCATAAAATTTTGCAGTAGTATCAGAACCTAGACGCTTTGCTCTATTTTTCTTTAATTTCGATATTTTCTTTGGTATATTTTTTGTGTTATACATCCTTATTTCTATATTCGGTTTATGCTCCCTTTTGATATTTTCTACTTCTAGATCAGAAATTGGTAATCCTTGTTTAGTTTTTCTACTTATTTTATTAGATCCACAATTTCTACATTCAAATTCAATTTTTTCACAACCTCTCTCATCATTTCTCTCACTGTCACTGTATTGAGATCTTTTTGATGGTACACAAGAATTTTGAGGCAATCCTGGTTCTGATTTTCTTCTCCACGTACTTATTTTAGATAATTTTGATCTTTGAGGATCGTCTTTAGACTTAGATCTTGTAATATCTGGCTTGTGCTTTTCAATGTCACTACATCTCGATTTTCTAGAATGTATTGTACTAGTTGAATCTGTTACAACAATATTTTCTTTTATTTTAGCGCATTTCAGACATGTTCTTGTTATATTCCTCACATTTACCATAGAGTTATTGGTATCATTTAAATCATCTTTATTTTTACAGTTATCCGTGTAACCAACTATATTATCAGACGAATGATATCCTCTAGTTTTTGTTAACGACCCAGGAAATTCTTTACCAAAACTCTCCTGTGATGATTTGAAATCGGAGCATTTGCAACCAGACTGTTTTCTTTCAAGATGTTCAGCGCTACCAGAATCTATGTAATGTAAAGATCTATCACATTCTGGACATTTATCTCCAAATATACCATTATCATCATTTCTACAGCAACATTTATCGCTATTAATTTTGTCTTTAGACATTTCAGTTTCACAGTCCGAACAGAGATCTACATAACAGCTCTCGCAAGTGTAATCTGTACCCTTTTCGGCTGATAATTGAGCACAATCACAATCATGTCTAGATTCAGACCTAGAATTCGGTATAGTATATTTTCGATTTCCTTTCTTCGATGAACCTCGTATCCCGTTTCCTAAGACGAGTGTTCTTCGTCTCTCTCTCTCTAATTTTCTTTTTTCGAGATACTCTGGCGCGGATAACTGTTTCCTCATTGACGCCTGTGTAATAAGATTATGTGATTTTTCAGCCAGCATGTCATCTGAAATTAAATATATAAAAACATATAATAATTGGTTTTATTTCTCCTATTTTGATAAACTTAATTAGATTATCTAACTTAATTATTTTTTGTTAAATAATTAATTTGTTTAATCTTGCAGTTGTACTTACGAGTATCTTAAAAATATCTATATACATATGTAAAGAAGAAGAATAAGACTTCCATATGAAACCGAAATAATTGTCGAAAAAGACAAAAATAGTGAGTTTATTGTTTTCCCGTTACAAACGTATATAGACATCTATAAAAAATTAACATAAGTTTTAAAAATAATATCTTAATAATTATTAAATTAAATATTCAGCCATATTCAGTCTATTTTTGTTACTTACTATAACTACATACAACTCTGCTTTATTTTAGATACCTTGCTATTAAACTAGTGTAAAAAAAATTATATTACATATTAGCATATTTCTATAACAAACTTATACACTTAATACTTCTGTTTAGGGCCTGTGTATTTCTGTATGTATAAAATTTTTTCAAATCCGTCCAGTTTTTTAAGGGAGATTGAGTAACAAACCGTCGTGTGGTGCCAGCATAGAATGAACCACCCCTTAGGTGTTGTAAGAGACGACTAAGGGAACTTAATGATCGAGGGATGGGCAGCAGCGGCGCTCTTATGAGACCAAATCCTAATTGTCAACTCGCCTGCCAAGCGTGGTTTTTTTTTTAATGGGTTATAATTGTATGGTAACCCCGTCTGCGCTATTGGTATACACTGGCGGGGCACCAGTGAGGGATGACAGATGAAGATGAAAGTAGGTCAGTTAGCTCATCCTGGCGAATTAAACTAGAATTAGTCACGATGGTTTCCAGGGGGAACCACGTGGAGGTCGACCTGACAGGGTATATTGCTAGTAATGGGGCTATTTGACCCTATTTTATATTTATTATATATTACCCGATATTTTTACTAACAATCCCTTTCCTCCTTGCCAAACGTGGTAACCACTGGCAAAGTGCCCCTTATGGAGGAAACTTATGTTCAGCAGTGGACAATTAACTGCTGGTATGATGATGATGATGAGTAATAAACATCTGAACAACCGGCAATTTTTACAAAAGGACACAATTTTACTTTAACTATACTTACCATCTGTTTTGTTTTGTCCAAGCTCCATGACCAATTGTCTTGCATGAGATGGTATCACAGCGTTGTAATTTTCTAATATTACCTGAAACAATAGGAAGACATTGTACAAAATTCGTCTGCATAGATATCCTGTCCCACTTATTCTTCTGCCGCCAAACAGCTGTACTAGCATGGCCATATTATATATCAGGCCATTGCCCATTAAGCAAACATTTATAAACAATAGAAGCCATTGACAGCCCTATATGTCAACGGTGTTTTGATGCCAAATAAACGGCTGTTCACGTAATCCTGGAATGTGAAGCTGTAACCTCTCAATGTTTAGAAATCCTCAGAAGAATGTGAAGATCCCAGAAATTTTTTGTGCTTTTGGACGGAACTGGGTTGCCTGTACTAGCCATAATTCATACGCACAATGGCCCAAATAAGAGGCTTAGCGTGGAAAATAGAGTCCAATTATTATTATTATATTGTATAAGAGCTTTCAGTGTGTTTTGTATACATTTTTATAGATAAATATTTATATTATAATGAAAGTCGGAGTTCTCATCCATTTGATAAGCAAGCATTCAAGCTTAGAATACAGTTATTAATAATTCTTTTTTTTTATTATGTGTAAATGTGTTTGTTATACTATTACTTTTTACTGCATAGTTCTATTTTTTGTTTCTCCAAAGATTGACTGGATGGGACTGCTATAACATTAAGTTTGTATTTTGCAATAAATATTTTTATAATGTGGTTATAATGTGTAATATTTTTTGTAATGTGGTTAATAAAAAATAATTAAATAGGTGTGGGTGTGTGTGTGTAGATATGCTTACGTGCGTGCGTGCGTGCGTGCGTGCGTGTGTGTGTGTGAGTGAGTGAGTGTGCGTGCGTGTGGGTGTACACACAGTATGAGAAAGAAAGAGAGTGCGGATTGCTTACCCGCTTGATAAGCAGCGTCCACTCGCGCTTGTGTCGCGCGGAGCGGGCCTGCAGCGTGAGCTGGGCGCGCGGCGCGTCCCACGGGATCACGTGGAACGACAGCGGCGCCCCCGCTATGGCCTCCACTAGCATCATGTTGTTACACTGCAAGAGTATAGATTAAATAACGTTACTCTGTGGCAAGGGTTCATTATTCATGTCGTCACACTGCAAAGATACTAAACTGAGAGGTAGCCTAGTTTTATTGAAATTATCATAGAGGACTTTTTTTAACTAACTAACATTAACTCTCTAAATAAAATTACCAACAAATCGGAACATTCAATAATTTAATCGATTATTGTACTATCATTGGACATTTTTTTAGTATTATTATCTGTGACAAAGGTACAAACTTAATTTCATTACTTAAGAAGGATTAATTTTAATATAATGCATAATTTATCAACCTGAGTTTGTTGAGTTGCAATATATTCAATAATTACTTATTTTACCTGCATACGTAATATGTAACATGTATTATATTACTTAATTTAAAACTAAATATAAATGTAAAAATGTAATATTTACAAGAATAATAAATATAAAATAAAAATACAATAAAATAATAGCCTAAAATAATGATTGCTTAATATAACCGCCATATAATAACATTAGACTTTAATGGGAAAAAAAATGTTACATTACCATTATATGAGTCTTGTACGCTAGGATGCCGTCTTCTCTGTTCTTGGTGATGAGGAGCATCTTGTCGAAGAGGAAGACGTGACGCATCGCCTTCGCGCCGAACACTCTGCATCATCAAATATATTTTAATACTAGTAATACGCCCCGGCTTCCCACAGGTAGAGAAATAGAAAGATAAATTAGTATTTTATATTAGCTGTAATAAGCAAATTTTTTATATATTTCTTTGTAATTTTCGTAGAGATCTATTTTTTTGTGTCATGTCATTCTCATGTCTATAGACGACGGTTACCACTTTCCATCAGGTGGGCCGTTAGCTTGTTTGCCATTTTAAGTTGTATAAAAAAAAAACATAGACACCTCCCTCACAAAGATAGTCTTGCCAGTAGTTGTCACGATTAACAGACGGATTGGCAACTGCAGTTAGCCTTTAGTAAGCTTCGAAGAAGAACGCTACTCCCCATCTCTTGACCATTATGTTCCCATAGTCGCCTCTTACGTTAACTGCGCCAAATGTATATCGAATTTCACTGTGCATCAAAGTTTAAATAAATAAATAAAAAAAAAAATGTTTTATAAAGATAGCGGTTGTTATAGCATTACCTGAATGTCCCTTCGGCGCACAGCTCTCCATAAGTGGTCAGATCCGGACCGCTCCAACCGTATAGAAGTGATTGAATCTCCTGGAATTAAACAAAGCAACATTCTTAATAAATCGCACAATTAGTCTATCTGCCTGTTTGTATGTATCTTTGTTCCAGCATCAAATAAAAATTACTGCACCACATTAAATGCAGTTAAGTTCCTGAAAGTCCAGATTAAAATCTGGTATACGGTTTATGTTGTTACACTAACTAGAAATTGTGCATTTGTGTTTCATTGCTTTCCCTACTTCTGAAATCGCGCGTGGATTTCACAAGTAGCGGGGAAAAATATATCAATAAATTTAAATTCTTTTTTCCCAAAGACCAAATATCCTGTCGGCTTGTTTGCTATTTTCTTTCCACCATTAAAAAAAAAATATAAACTTCTTACTTGCACCCGCACCGCGTGCTCGTGCCGACGCTTCATGTCATCAATATGTTGCGCTATGCCAGTCATCTTCAGCAACGCATACTCCGTCTCCCGAGTCGTGCACTGTTTCACCACATTCTGAAATTACAGATAGAATCAATGGTTAATATTAATCTGGAATTAGCAATATAAAATTGTTACGCAAAAGCAGTTCTTAATTGATGACAATGGAATAGTAACCCCTACCACTCAGTTAAAAGCCCCGATTAAGGAGTTATCAGAAAATTACTGTAAGAAATTAATTCTTTTGAGTAAACATAATATGTCTGTATTAATAAGGGCTCTCACTGAATACTACAAACTAAACAAACACAACTAGACTTATCTCCATAAAGTGTTTGCAGATTTTGTCACAGTAAGGAATAAACGCCGCAGCACTTAATGCGTGGCCCATTCATTTATAAACGATATATCTTCTTTGGAAAACACATTCTATATCCTGAGGAGATAAAAAAACGTTGCTATAAAAAACATCTTAAAACTTCATTAATTGATAGGAATTAGCAGCGAAATTTAAAAAAAAGGCGAGCACAAAAGATCTTGGAAAGCTCACAGTGTCACAGGTTATTCTGCCTGAAAAGCCCGTCTTTCAATAATAATAAGAAATCCCTCCTACACTATCGGTATATGCTGTCGTGGCACCAGTAAGTGACGATTAGGTAACGAAGAATGCAAATTGGCTCATCGTGACGAATTCGTCATGAGCGCAAAAGAAGTGCCATAAACAAAGTAAAGGGAGAAGAGATTAATAGTAATGGGGTCGAACAACCTCATTACTAGCAAATACCCTGTCAAGTCAACGTCCACCCGGACCCTGAAAATAATTATGATTAATTCGTCACAATGGCAATAACTGATATAACTTTGTCATCGCTTACTGATACTGATGATATATCAAGTTTTAAAACTAGTTCATCCTCAAAATAACCATCGCCATGTGCCTACAGTGCATTATATTATATAAATAGGGATTTATTCATATAGTAATTTGCGTACATGACTTTAATCAGATAAAGATGATACCTATGAAGATACCTATCTAATTAATAAGATCACCAACAAACCTGTAGCAATAAATGGTACTTCAAAATCCTCTGCACCGGCTTCAGTAAGTAAGACGCGAGCGGTAGTGGATGACGCAACGCCAGTTGTCTCTCCCTGAACTCTCTTGCGCTGTCCGGCTCTGATGCTAAGGCTGCCAGCCTCTTCATTGTTATGGGATAACCAGTACAGTACGAGGTGTAGACGGAAAAGCCAGAATCTGTACCAGTGTTATTGACGAAGCAACGAGCAATACATGTAGCATCCAGACGACAGTTGTTCAACTCTTCACAGAACGATCTGAAAACAAGATATTCAAATTTATTTATAACATTTTGAAAAAGTAAAATGCATCGGTACAAGGGAAGAAAAATTTGGAATTAATTGTGTACTAAGTTGACTAGCTAGCTTGCTAAAATCTTTCTCGTATAAGAAAGACCCAAATTAAAAAATCGAACGTAGATGAATTGATATGAATGAAATAATTTTAGATTCTCAAAACGGTATTGCCCCTCAATTAATGCCAGACTTCGTAGAAGGTGGTAACAAACTACAAAATTCAAAGTAAAATTATAGCCGAAAAACTTCATAGCCTGTTAGAATACTTAAACAAACAAACATGATAGTATTTACCTCTACTGTTAAAAATAAATAATAAAAAGAATAAAAACCAACCAAGATGGCTGGTTAGTTTAGTAATATATTCTTATTAGGGAAATTCAAGGTTGAGAAATCAGGCGTATATTGATTGTTATTAACGATCAATTATTTTAGATCTTTAAAATTGTATCATCCCCGAGTTAGCTCCAAAGACTAAGTAGAAGACGTTATCGAGACCAAAAGTAATTTTTTTTTTAATATATAGCTGTGAATAATGCTCTATTCTTTATTGTACACAAAATATAATGTTAACTACAATTCATTATAAACATAATGTACAAAGGCGAGCTTATATCTAATAAGAGATTTCTTTCAGCAAACCTTTTCATGTAAATAAACATTAATTTAGAATAGGAAATGTTTTTAAATTAAAATTTTTTTATAAAAAACATACAATACATAATCAAATAAATGGATTGTATTTAATAGAAGGTCATAAATAAGTAAACAAAATAAGGTGTAATACACTCATGACATAAGTCATGAGTGTAATACACCTGTGCTAACAATAATCTATCTTCACGCCAAGTCTCATACAAGGAAAGCAGAAAGATATAAGTGCCAGTCATAAACGGTTCATTCATGTATATATATATATATATATATATATATATATATATATATATATATATATATATATATATATATATATATATATATATATATATGAAAGAGAGCTCTTCCAGCCAGCCAACCCAATACAGAGAAAAATAATAAAAGGATGTAGATTCATCCATTTTTTTTTAATTATCTCGTATATACGCGCTAGTTTTGACTCCTTACTTAGATAGTACATAGTTTTACTGTAATTAAACTATGTACTATCTAAGAAAACTTAAATTAACTAATTGTATGTTTGTCTAAATCTACATTCTTTCCAATCGTATATCTATTTCATCAGCTTGGTATGATTGTATAATACTTATTACTTAAGTATTAAATTTGCACCACAATTTTCTTTATCAAGAATTTTCTTCTTCTATTCATTCATTAACTTGTATCTAACATACTTCTCCCTTCATCTTCCATTACACCTTTCTATAATATATTATTTATTTATTGTTAATCTTAAATTCTTTTACTGACACTATTTCCTTTATTATTTTTATCCTTCCTTACTCCTGTTTCTCAATCATTCTTCCTTTTATTTCTATTTTGCTGTCATATTCTTTTTTTATTCAGATTTATGACATAATTTATAAAAACGTACAATAAAATCAATATTTTTTTTTAATATTTTAGTCATTTAATAATATATTTACACCTATCTACAAATGTGTTGTTAGCTACAAATAAATATAATGTACATTTTTTACCAAGTTTACGATCGTCTACGTACGTATGAGTAATACAAGAAATACGTGACCACTCAAAGGGGACTTAAATTATAATGGCGAAATTTTTATTTGCCATTGTTTCGAAATGTTATGGCGTTTATTTTTGTACCTTACTTTTTACTATTTTAAAGTTTTATTGCTTATATTTAAATATAAATTATAATAATTTTAAATGAATAATGTATTCACTTACATTTTATTCCAATTTTTTTTTTTTATCTGAAAGGATATACTTACAGATTTGTACCATAGAAATTTTATTAAAATCGGTTCAATAATTTAGTTTTTGATGTAAAAATGCAACCATCATCATTGAAATCGGTTTTTTGTGGGACACAATGCTTTTTGCAGTTGGTAAAAATTCACAGTAGAATATTTTAATCTGGCTTTAATGAATTTTAGTAAACAATAAGCTATTATGAACAAAATAGCTAAGATAGCAAGAAAAAACCGGGCTCATCCGGGAATTGAACCCGGGACCTCTCGCACCCAAAGCGAGAATCATACCCCTAGACCAACGAGCCACGATGTCTAGCGGTGAATGTTATGATTACATTCACTCGCGGGTGACTGACGACGCGCAATTACGTCACAAAGTCGTTTAAAAAGCCTACAGAAACAGTCTTCGTTCAAATCGTACTACTTTAAGATATTAAGTTATTTGCCATTCAAATTTAGACTCTAAACAGTGCGCCGCACGATACATTTTTAACAAACTTTAAAACGGATAAGGTTCTTGATTGGAAGCGTATTATTTGTATATATGTTTAGTGATTACATTGCCAATTCTTCGACTGATTTTGATAATGGCCCTCACTCTCCGGATTAACCATTACGCAGCGTAAGCAACTGCTTAGGAGCTCCGCGCCCTTACAAAGTATTTTTCGAGATAGTTTCTTTATGTGAAAAGTACATTTGAAGATTTGTATCTAAAAAATCCCGAATGAAAATATATTTGCTTTTTTATATTACATTTTATTGTCGTTTTTGTATTTTATCACGCATTTCGAGTTGTAGGATATATTTATATCAGTTTTTTTTTTTGATAAAAATGCATGCCTAGAGGCCCTGACATGGTTAAACCAGCTATAGTCACTTCTTCATCTCGTTCCCAGGATGCCGTAAGGCACGACTAACTAAAACCACCGTAAAAGAGAAGGCTTTTCCTATAAAGAATTTGTCGTCCCATATAAAAATTTAGCTAATCGTAATGTACACAATTTTTCCTATTTTTTTCTTTTATTATCAAATGACTTCAAAATTCAAAGTTCTTAATTCATTTGTATTTTTTTATGTTTGACATCTCATAGCTCCGTCAGTTCTAAACCGATTTAGAAAAATATTTTGTATCTGAAAGGATATAGATACTTACATATTAGTCCCATAGAAATGTTTTTTTTTACAACACAGGGGGCAAACGAGCATGCGGCTCACCTGATGGTAAGTGACTACCGCCGCCCAAGTTGAATGGTTGGTATGAATGAATGTTGGTTTGAATTTTTAGATCAATATACTGGTTTTGTCACAATTAAAAGTTTTTTTATGGGGCACCATCTTTAATAATAATAAGTCAGTTAACTAATATAGTTACATTTACTACATACATCGTCATCTATCTATTATTGTATCTAAATGGAATGTTTTACACGGAACTAATTTGTGTTAGTCAATTAACAAATAAAATGACATATTTTACAACTACTTCAGAAAGGTACCATAAAACTCTAAGATAAAACCATTTTATGGCTCACATCTTTATATTAGACCGTTCCAGCTACGGTTATGGTAGATTTAATAGTAAATAAACACTCATAAAAATCCCGTTTGGTGTTGACATGTAAACTAAAAACACAGCATTTATTAGATATAAACATTTATTTATAATTAGCTATGCCCACAACTTCGTTCGCGTAACGGAAATAATAGATAGTCTATGCTCCTATTCTATCTCCAAATTCTACGTAAATACGACACTTGACAACTTGACTTTATTATTCAAGTTTTTTTTTTAATTTAAAATTCGATTTTTCAATTAGACAATTATTATATTACAGTATTGTTTTCATATTTTAACTATATGTCTATTAGAAAAAAGTTTACTATTTCACTGTAAAGAAACATTTTTCTAACAACCACATTTTGGAATTAACTTACCAGCAGCAGTATTTCCGAACTGATACAACATCGTAACCTTCAAGAAAAGAGCATATTCCTTTGCTAATCTTTGTCAAGTAAAAAAGTTTACAAAGTTAATATTTAAAGGAACAAAGTAGTGCCTTGTGAAACCTCCGTATAAAAAATTATTAATGTCATAAAACCGCTATCAGTATCAAGTTCCAAGGAGACATAAAATAAAAGCGAAGTCATTTAGTAAAGCTCTATATAAGGCGTAATAGTGTAACGGGTCATATTTCATTATCTTCATAAGAGTTGCTACATTATCGAACGATGTATTAAGATCTTAATCAGTAAAAGTACGTTACCAAGCTTGATACTATCTCTTCATTTCTCTATAATAATAACCAAAATATGTAACAAAATACGTGATAACACATATATTAAAGTGTCAACAACAAGAGAAGGTTTCTAAGTAAAATACTAGCCGCAAAGCTAGCAATATAGTCAACCAGATTGACCTTTACACGGCCTGAAAACCATCGTAATTAAGATATCATCATCGTAAATAGTTCGTCATAATGGGCTCATTGACCTGACTTCATTTTCTCCTATAATTCTCACTAATACTCCAACAGCGCCCTAAATTTTTGGCTTGTTTATATTAGGGATTTTATCTTAGAGATATAACAATCCCAATACTTCAAATATGATACTAACCCACCAATAAATATAACCTGAATACCGAGAAGAAAAATGTCGCCCAAAATCGATATGACGAAGAAATGATTCAAGATGGATTCAAAAGTTGGAAAATGCAAGATAAAACTAAATGATGATATAATTTTTGGTAGCCTAAGATAACGCCTTCTGCGTTCATCTTTAATTTGCTACTATACTATTGACGAATACTTGAATGACAAGCAGAATTTATCTTGTAATTTATAAATAAATAATTAATTATGAATTGATAATGATTTAAGACATAGCTAAAACTGACATTGCTGAAATTTTATTATTAAACTATTTATTAATTAATTTTACAATATGAATATAAATAATTATAAACTACAGAATATATTAAATAACTATATAATACTAATAACAATTACGATATAAATAGATACACACCAATACGTATTTTCTTACTATTATTATTATTCATTATTTAAAATTAATAATAATAATAGTAAGAAAATACGTACTTATCGTGATACAATTTCAATGACTGATAATATTGTAACAGATCCTTAGACTATTTCTAAAGTGAAAGAAGTGTTGTCCTCCTCTCTCGTACTTGCTGTGCCCAACAGGGTCCATAATTGAAATGTTATGTACTAATTATATTATGGAATGCAATAAGAAATAAATAAATAAATAAAATAATTTAAACTAAACTTCATTGAGACTTTCTTAGACACGCAAAAGTCAGCAGAGGGATCTTAGACTATAGAAACGAGTTTATCTATTTACAAGACGAAAATGACCGAGCGACTTGACTGATTAGTAAAACAGAATAAAAACAAACAAGGACAACTCATTCTGAACTTTCCTTCATTTCCACTACTGTATAATACTTTATACCTAAAAGAAAATGAGTGACAACACAATGTATTCAGGACAAGGAATCAAAACACAATATATAATACACTAGAATTGTCATTTTAATATGCTGTTACATCACTATTAAGAATCCAGGCCAATCTCGTAACATTTGCCAATTGCCTAATTAACATCTCTCAGAGGTATTATGTGTTTTGCAATGATAATGTACACTTCATTAGTTTGTTGCTTAAATGGACAGTTTCCAAGATCGCCAGTGATATTATCGCGACAATTTATAGCCATTTTTACCTGACTTCAAAAAAAAGGAGTATGTATGAGTGAATATGAATATATAATCAATATCATCATATCATATTGATTGAGAGAAAGGGATTGTTTGTAATACAGACTACTAGTCCCATTGCTAGCAATATACCCTGTCAGATCGACCTCTACGTGGTCCCCCCTGGAAACCATCATACTGAATACTTAGTTTTTTTTTATGGGTGAAAATGGAATGGCAGGCTCGCCTGCGCTAATGGTATACGCTGGCGGGGTACCAGTGAAGGGTGGTGATGGCGAGGTACCAATGAGAATGAAAACAGGCCAGTTAGCCCATCATGATGAATTCATCAGGTATTACCCATGATAGTTTCCAGGGGGAACCGCTAGGAGGTCGACCTGGTTGGGTATATTGCTAGCAATGGGATTTTCAGTCTCCATTACTAACAATCCCTTTCCCCCACTGAATACCGGGTTTATTGATCACGATTAGCTAACTTACCTGTCTTTTCACTCTCACTAGTGCCACACCAGGGTACACCATCTGCTCAGGCGGGGCTACCATTACATTATCATTCATTAATAAAATCATCATACCAGCCTTTAATCGTCCACTGTTGAACATATGCCACCCAGTTACTGTTTTGCCAGTAGTTATCACGCGTAGCAGACAAGTTGGCAACCGCAGTTAGGCTGTAGTGTTGTTTTAAGATGGCCGCTGCTGCCCATCCCTCGTTAATTAAATTCCTTTAGTCGCCACTTATGACATCCACGGGAAAAGAAGGGGTGGGCCATTCTATTCCGGGACTATACGGTGTATGAAATATATGTTTATTGGTAACTCTGGATCTTTGTTAGCTGCTACTGTAGTTTAGCTACGTAATCGACATGATATGCAGATTTTTTTTTCTTCACTTTTATTTACAGTCATCTCAATATTCACTCCCTCTCTGACCAAACTATACATCTCTCAGATATCTCTCAGACCCAAAAGAGTCACCATACAACCGTCTACATTTACACTTAATATCTTCATATCATATACTCTTCGTCCCTGCGCTTTTAATTACTTTTTAACTCTTTTTGTCATTCCAAGACATGCAACAAACTCTCTTTTAACTTTACTTGGGTAATATGCCCTTTACCTTATTAATATTTATAAAAAATCTACATTAGTAAATTTTAAACTTTCGCGTTGTTTACACATATTTTAAATACACAATCGAGACTTAACGGGGGGAAATGGATTGTTAGCAACGGAGTTCGACATTGCTAGCAATATGCCCTATCAGGTCGACCTCCACGTGGTTCCCCCTGGAAACCATCGTGAACAATTCTTGTTGAATTCGTCACGATGGGCTAACTGACCTGCTTCATCCTTATCTATCACCCCTCACTGGTACCCCGCCGGTGTATACCAATAGCGCGGGTGGGGTTACCATTCCATTATCACCCATTAAAAAAAAACTTACTTAACGCGATGAAAAAGTGTCGAGGTCACGACGTGGTGAATCCACGTCGAAACGTCGGCAATGAAGAAGCAGGTATGTAAGTACTATTTACCTGTAAAGCCTTCTACATCGCATTAAGTCCCAATTGTGTATTTAAAATAACAAATTAAATTATTTTATTAACTTTTTATTTCTCGGTAACATTAGCTGTTACCATTTCACCTACCGCATTGCGAGCTAGTATGAAATTCAATACTTTAAAATCTCGATGTGAACAAGGGACATCAAGACCCCACAGCGTTAGTGAACAGACGGAACCATTTGTATCATACAATGGTTAACTGTATGTAACATATTTATAGCTATAGATAGCATCTCTTATAAGTCCACCCTCTTAGTTTGACAGCCCCCAGCTATTATTTTAACACCCTTCGGTTGCAAGGATTTTGTATTACACATTTTTGCTAGGTTAGACATAAAAAAGCTAAATTCTTTTAGTAAATGTTATGTTTTATGTAGAATTATTGTTGCTAGGTGATAAAAAATAAATGATGGTATTGTAAAACGAATACAAATAATAATATGTCAAGTCGGTTAGTCACTAAACAAAATTTGACAAGAAATACTAGACACTCGCCAATTTAGAAATTTTACATCATCATCATCATATCAGACTTCAACTGTCCAATTTTGGAAATAAGCCTTCTCTTGGGGGGGTTTTGCCAGTAGTTACCACACTTGGCAGGTGGATTGACAATGGCAGTTAGGCTTTAGAAATGTTTTAAGAGGGACGCTGCTGCCTGTCCCTTGACCTCCCTTAGCCACCTCTTACGACACCCACGGGAGAGAAAGGGATGCTCTATTCTATGTTGACACTACACGGTAAAATTTTACATTAAATTATCTTTAATTACAAAGTAATTAACAAAAATCACAATAATCGATTTTAGCGCCATCTGATATTTAGTGTTCAATTTTGTTTAGTGATCAAGCAACTTAATTGAACTTACCGATTAAAGTCGTATATATCTTCGATGTTGTTGAATAATTCTTTTAACTTGTCGTCTGTAAACGTTGCCTCCCGCCGCCATACATGCAGGTACCCCTGAAAGGAAGCAATAAATAAATGTTCAACATAATGTGATTGTATTTATTTTCAACCGACTTTAAACAAGGGGGTTTTCAGTTCAGTTGTGTTTTTTTGTTTATTCATCTCATCAACGCTGTCATTTGGAAAATTCTTTTATTTTATTTGAAAGGATATAGTGACTAGTCTCATAGAAATTTTATTAAAATTGCTTAAGTACTTTAGTTTATGAACAAATATAACCGGTTGTGTAAATAATTAAAGACAAAGTTTTTGTGGAACACACTCTCAAGTTATGTGAATGTAGAAGTTGATTTCTGATGGATATGTCTCTTGTCGCGTCGCAAACTGTTACAGGGAAATCAGTATGATAAGTTTAACCATTGACCCGTCGTCGGGGTCTCATTGTCAAAATACAGTATCCTCAGATTTGTGTTTTCCCTGTATTGTACACAAATTACTCCAAGAGATGGTAATAGATTTACCGCTTGTCACGTTCATATAAATATGCATGGCGAAATGTAGCTAAGTCTAGTATTACATTGAAACACGGAAACTTGTTCAAAGAAACTTTTTGATTCCAAAAACAACAAAAAAGCTTGAATAAGGCTCATCTAACTAGATAGACCGAATACACAGGAATTTATATTTTACTATATATGAATTCAAAACAGAAGGTATAATAAACATTGTTTATTATAACCTTCTTTTTTTAAGTCGGTTAAAAATTAAGTTACTTATTTGTATTAAGATAAGATTAATCGGGACTTGCAAAAGAATATTGATTTAAAACAAATAAAAGAATTATAGACAAAACAGCAATGAAACTATCACAAAATATAATGTAACGGTACATCTTAAGCTTAAGCATCTTAAGCCAATTTTCCAAGGCAGTAACCATTTCTAAATAACCTGAAGCTTTTATAGTTAAACCACGAGTACGAGTGCGTTACGTACGTACGCATACAATGGTCAATTTATCGCGACCCACTTAATAATAGTATACGCGGAAACCACAACACTGGGGTTACTGCGCTTTGACAATGAGACCCGAGAAAGGCCGATGAATAAGTTGCGCATGCTGGTTTCCTCGCTTTAACCGTTTGACAAGTGACATTGAAAATACATTAAACTCACGGTCGTGAGAATACCCCCAAAAATACGTCAGTTAAAAACGAATATTTTCAAACATTTTTGAGAGTCTTCAGTCAACATATTTTTATAACACTGTCAGATGTAATAGTCATGTGTCTTTCTCTATATCTTTTGTTCCCTTATTACTAGTTAATTAAACCCTACTAGCTCTTGTCCTAGTCGGGATTGATTTTGGTTATAATTATGATTAATCTGTTTTTTAAAAATGTTTTTTTATACAACTTAGAATGGCAAACAAGCTGAGGGTGCACCAAACAAACAAAACAAGTGGTTAACGTCGCCTATAGACATGAGCAGTACCATGGACATAACAGAGTATACTATTTCGCCCATGATACCCCCCATGCGTTGCCATTCCTAAAGACTTAGGTGTTATTCCTCTGTACCCTGTAAATTTACTGTTAGATTCCACCTTTCAAACCGAAACACAACCATGCAAACACAACAGCTTCACGGTAGAAACACGAATAGGACAGAGGTACCCAAGCCAACGACTTTTGTACAAAGTCTCCCTGCGGTAAAATGTTTCTTAACCCTTAAAAACCTGATTTTTTAAATCAAAATAAAACAATATATAAGTGTACCCTTTACTGTGTTTACTAATGGGGAAAAATAGTAAAAAAGAAATCACAAACGATATTTTTATATATTTATTTTGAAAAAAACATTTGGTAACATGTGAACAGTCAAATATTAAAATAAAATCGATTGTAGGCACTCAATGCGATTTATAACCCCGGTATCAAATTTGAAACTTCAGGTATTTAAGGGTTAATAACCTATCCAATAAGGTGGACAATATATAGCAATATCTATTTATTCTAGTTACAATATCTATATATTAGGTAAATAAAAAAATATAGATATTAAATATCAGTCATGAATATATAATATCGAAACGAAACACCCGATGAAAATGAAAATACATATCCGACTGATATAAACAATATTGAAATGGATATGAAATATACAGATATGGGTGTGGTATAGATATTATCCATGCCTAGTCGCCATGTTTGTTTTAATCGACTTCAAAAAATAGGTTGTTCCAATATCAGAAGTATTTTGTGTGTATATTTACGTTTTTCGCCAATTATGAATCATCTTTATAATGTTTACTCCCATCCATTGCCGTAAAGATTACTTTCCAAAGAGAGGTCTTGCTTCTTAAAAAAGACAATGAAATCTATTCTAAAGCGCCATTTTTTCTAACCCTATCTCTAAATTTCAACTTTCAATTTAATATTACAGTGAAATTTTTTATCGAAGGAACAATATGACCTAAATTCATATGAAATACAGTAATATGAATTAAAGAGTAAAATATATATATAAAGGTATAAAAGGCGGTCATATCGCTAGGGCAATCTGTTACAGACATTTGGTTAAAAGAGAATAGACAGATTTATTATTATGAATTGATTTACGTGAAAATTATTATAAATTTAGTTTATAATAGTCCATAAAACAGTAATTTTATATAACTATCTAATTATATTATTAGGTTAGAAATAGATTTTGAGAAATGGTGCCTTAGAATCGACCGCATTATGTACTTTTAGAGATGCCTTTACGCATAGTAGCTGAAAGCTTCGATCGCAGCGTAGGGTGGGCATTGACAGTTCTGAGGTGGGCACAGCCCACTTAGCTTCAAACGTATAGGTATGTTATAGGCGTGACTATCATATGTATATTGTCAGAATTGAAATTAATGCTTTTTTTACAAATACACAAAACGAATTGCAGATCTCTCCTTTTTTAATCGCTTAAAAATAAATCAATCGATACATGGAACTCTTTAATTCCGCATGTTACATTTACTGGCTTGAGTATTTATTGACACGGATCACTCGATCCGTTAGGTATCGAGAGGTATAATCGATCGAATAGTTTCGAGAATCGAGTCGCCACTCTCATAACTTGGATAGACGCGTTATAATTAGAAAAAAATGAGAACTTGACTGTACGGTGTGTTATTACGAGGACGTCGATGGTGTGACGGGTTAATATACCTCACCTTCTAATTCGAGTTCGATTCTCGCAAAATACTAACAATTTATCAAAATATATTTTATGTACTTAATATATTTACAGATGATCTTAAAAAGACGACTGGAAATGGATGGATGCGAAAAATGGAGGATCGCTTCATTTTTCGGTTATATTCTTCTATTAGCCTGTATCCTTCTCGATCTCAAGTAGTTTGTGTATACTAAATTTCATAGCGGTTAGTTAAGCCTTTTTTTATGCACCTGATGGAAAGTGGTAACCGTCGCCTATAAACATGAGCAGTACCATGGATATACTGTTCAGAATATACTGTTTCGCCCATGATATCCCCCATGCGTTGCCTTTCCTGAGGACTCAAGTGTTATACCTCTGTACCCTGTAAATTCACTGCCACATCCCACCCTTCATACCTAAACACAACAAACAGCCATGGAAACTCAACTGCTTCACGATTGAAACACGAGATAAGACGCTGTAAGATAACAAAATAACAAGCAAAGTCCCTTTCACATTTAAAATATTAGCAAAGCTTAAAACCAGAAACAAAGCCACCAATTGGACCAGTCTTGGTCACGGTTGAAACCATGGTCTTTCCATGATCTCATCCAAGAAGTGATCATTGGACACCATTCTACATTGCAAATTGTCCTATTCCTGTACAATAGCACAAATATTCGGCCCACATCACGGACCGGTCAGGATAAAGTGGAACTCCATCCGTTCCACATTCGCTAAATTTAGAGTCATAATGTCCAATATGTTAGTAGGCAAATTAGATATCTCGGATGTAAGATATAGGTTGTATTTACGTTTATAGAATCGACAGGGGTGTCGACCTTTTGATTAATGTTTTTCACACAATTGTTTACATTTCACACCACATTAAGGTTAGAATAACCGACTCATATCATCGACACATTGGGTCTGATATTTAAACTCAAATTCTCTTAATATTTCTTTATTAAAACCAATGTAACAATTTTAATCGCTCAATGACAAATCAATTTTTATAATAAAAAAAATAAATATAACATATATAATAATGTCAAATAACAATATCCCAAATTCAAAATAATGTACTATATTCTTTTCAAGGAAGAAAAATATTACTTTTTTAAATATCCTTAAATATTATAAATGCCAAACTTTGTAAGAATGGATAGATGTTTGTTACTCTTTCACGCAAAAAGTACTGTATAGGTTTTAATAAAATTTGGTTCACGGATAAGTTATATCTTAACTTCGCGTATAGGATACTTTATGTAGTAATTGACGTGGGCAAAACTGCGAAAAAATGCGTAAATGGCTAATTCATCAATAAAGCAATAAAATTGCATTTACTAACAAAACAATATGATGCAATTGGAGTTCTAAAAGTTCTAAAAGTCATGACATTCAAATACACAGACTTCGTAAAACTACATTGTCTTGAGCCTGATATATATATATATATATATATATCAGGCATATATATATATATATATATATATATATATATATATATATATATATATATATATATGTGTGTGTGTGTGTGTATATATATATAATTTTTTCAATAGATGATAATTGAATGGTAGCCCCGCCTGCGCTACCGGTATACGCTGGCGGAGCACCAGTGAAGGATGATAAGTGAGAATGAAAAGGTCAGTTAACTCATCGTGATGAATACACCTGGAATTCAGCACGATGGTTTCCAGGGGGATCAACCTAACAGGGTATATTGCTAGCAATGGGGCTGGTAGCCCACATTACTAATAATCCCTTCCCCCCGACTTATTATAATAGGTATAGATACAAACGATTACAAGAAAAGATTAAACTGAGACAACAATGGTATGCCCTTATCGTTA